GGCGTGACCATTTGGCCGGGCTATCTGTTGATTCAGAGACTTGGCGTCAAAGAAGGAGTCGAGGGAATGGCTTCAGTTCTAGCAGTCACTATTTGTGGCCAGCCACGAACGGTCGCGATAGCGAGCTAGCCATCTGGGCAAACGGAAGCCGTTTGCTCGCCATCAACGCCTCAACGTTTGTGGCTGCTTCCCAAGAGTCTCGACAGGACCAAAGCTGAAAGAGTTTATTTGGGGAACATAGATCCCCACGGTTCACACCAAGCTTCTCATTGGTGCTTGGAGCTCTTCACAGTGTTGGAGACCAGCGTCACCGGCTCCAAATATTGAGACTCTCTGTCCAGTCGAATCCACTTGGTGCTTCACCCAGCGTTGGACAGGCGGTTCCAACAGGGGAAGAAAACATCAGACATCTCGCACATACAATCATGATGAGAGTTTTCTTTCTCCCGTTTGCCGGGTCGTGGCCGCTACCCCTGACCTGGACCCCTGCGATGTCTTCGAACCCTTGTACCTTGTAGGATCAGCATCATCAAGCAGCCAACCAAGACGGACTCGCGTCTCCGCCAGGCGGCCACATGCCAACAGATCCACATCGTGTTGCGGTTTTACCTCGCCCAAACGAGTTTAGGTGTGCGATCGCCCCGTCAGATGCCGGTTCCTCTTTTCTTTTTCACTGCGTCGTGGTCTCTCGTCCGGAAGGATCGTACGGACAAGGTGATTGTGCGCAGTGGTCGGCGCACAGGGGCGACAAGAAGGAGGCCTTTTCATATCCGCTGGGAAACGGTTTGACTGCAGTCAGGCATGGATGCCCCGCGAACTGACTCAGCTTCCCGCCTTGCATAGGCCCAGAGCGAAGCGGAACAGATCGGGGGATCTTTGGGGCATGAGCGTGACCCCTTTTTTGTCACGTTGTGCGACATGCAGTCGAGCACGCCGTGGCTGTGGCTGCGGTGGACGCAACCTCTGAGCAGCGCATCAACAATCTTCAAGGAAACAATTTCTTTGTCTGCTTTGACATACATGGTGGAAAGAAGAGTAAGTATATACAGTTGGAGGCGCAAATAAGAGAATATTACGAATACTATTGACCACGACAATGGGGCTTGCTGAGGCACGGGCGAGGCATGAGCAAGGAGCAGAAGGGGCTCCAGGTACCTCCGTACAGTTCGAGAAACCCTACTGTCGATCGAGTCTGGCCCAAGCAGGCTGCGAGTAGGGCTTGCAGGCATTTGCTGCCGTTGTTCTTCACCAAACTGCTGTACAATCATCGGGTACTCTCCTTCCGGTTGTGCATGGCGGGTCAGAGGCAACGTCCAATGGCGGCAACCTTTGGGGCGGATACACAAGGATGACAGCGCGCTGAGCGCGTCTCTTGGCCACTTGATTCTCGACAACTGCAGCCGGCTCAACATGCACCACTCAGGAGGTGTTCTCTCAGCTCTCCCTTAGAGCCTGACATGACCAACCAAGGGAAGAAACCAAGGCTCCTTCAAAGCCTCGCTGACACGCCCAGGTCAGCGGATCCTTTCCCCAAGGCATGGCTGATGCTGGCCACCGTGGGTTTACGACGTGACGGACTGCTAAATGGAAGTCGTACGTAGCACAGAATAGGTGAGGCACAGACAGAGCACGTTCCTAGCCTGGCGCGCTGAAACGTGAGTCGCTCCCCTGTCTGGCACGATGCACGGACGGCGTGCCAATCAAGGGTTGCAAGTCGTGGGACGGATGGTAAGCAGAGCTATGGAGACAGCGTGTCGATGGCAAGACGGGCGTCGTGGACTTGAGAATGCTTCTCGACTGACACCCCGATCTGGTTAAAACGTCGGACCCTTGCCTGCTTCTGGGGTTGCTCCATTCCAGCCACGGACGGTGTCTGTCTCAACAGTGTCGACGGCTGATGGTCGAGGAGCCGACTCTGGATAGGAGAAGAGCCGGACAGACCAACACCAGACTATGACATCTCGGTCGACGCCGCGGATGAGGCCAGCTCTGGAAGCCTCTCGGACGGGCCCCCCTTGCATAACGCGGCGACGCCCCCCGAGGCTCGATCGACGCTAGTGGTTTCTTACCTCTCGGACGCTCGCTCGCCTGACCGACCCGACTCAAACAAAGTCGCCGCCGGGACAGGGACTTGACAATAGTTTCGTGATCCAGATCCAGCGATCTACGCCGATCCCAGAGGAGGCTCTTGGACGTTTAAAAAGGGGTCTCGCAATGTTTGCTTATGCATTATACAATGGCAGTGTGCTCATGCATGAGCATAAACACCATTTATCAAACCTCACTGCCGAGTAATGCTACACGATTAGGTTCCTGAAAGGTCTCTCTTACGAAGCAGAGCGCAGCAACAGTCAGCAACGTCGATGCAAGGTCATGCCTGTGAACCTGTCAGAGCGGATACGAGGCTGACTGAACATTGATGGTACCGGCAGCTTGGTGCTTCCAAAAGCAAGGTGAAACTGTTTACGTTGCTCAAGTCTATTCATTCATCAGTGCGTCGGACGGTCCAGAGAGATGGAAGAGGCCAGGATATTCGGTACCACGGACGGATGGCGAAATCGCGATTCTTGGGTCGAGCGATGTTACTCTGTCGCGTAACAGCATGACAAGCAGACCTTGTCGAGGCGTTTGTGAAAGCCCAAGGCGGATAATCCTTCTTGAAGGGCCTGCCTGATGAGGACGACGCAGGTTCATCATGGTGGTCTGTGAAGCATTGGACTTGAGTCAAAGACTCCCTATGACGTCGAGCGGCTCCGTCAACAATTCGCCTCGGGGAACTCGCTCCGGGGAAGTTTGAAGACTGCCGAGCTTACAATGAGATACTTGCATGTCTATCTCTTAGCGCTTGCAACGCGTGGCAGCATTGTGGGCAAAGTTGACAACTACCCTACGGAGGCGACTCGAAAGACATGCAGCCTGTTTCAGTCTCCGATATGACAGCCAGTTCACGGGGAACCAGAGTTATATGTCAAGCGTGGCCAGTATGACAGAGTCCGGATATTCCACTACGGTTCTCGGGGTCCTCTTCTTGCTAAAGTCTTGGATCTATTGCCTTCTTGACACTCAACAACCCAAGCTTGACTCAATTTTACAACTCCTTCATCACCTCCTCGACAGCTCTCGCCGCCATCCTCTTCCTCTGCTCCTCTCCCATTCCCTCGCCTGCCTCTCTCACAGCCTGCAGTTTTCTCATCATCTTCTCCACCTTGGCAATATCATCATCATCGAGATCCTCGAAACCTCCTCTAGTGGCTGCTTCTTCTGAACTCTTGTCCTTCTTGCCAGCCTCTTTGCTCGATTCCGAGGGCTCTTCATTGTCCTGCCCGGCCTCCCAGATGGCACGACGAAGCCCTTCAAAGTCGGACCTGTCGAACCCGAAACCCATCTTTTGCGGGTCCAGTTCGTCGTCGTCGTGATCATCGTCGTGGGCTTTGGCGGAACTTGTCTCAAAGTCTCCAAAGTCGGAGTCTGATAGTGGCACTTCGAGCTGAGACCAGTCATTTGCCTCGAGAGCCTCTTTGACACGTGCGATGCCTGTCTTTTCTGTTTCATCTGTTAGTCATGCCCTTGGCGGTATGAGCGAGAACATACCTCCAAACTCATTGCGGCCAGTGTCGCCCTTGCCACCGACAGACACAAACTCCAGTCCAGCCTCGGCGCAGATCTCGTCCCAATCCTCCTCACTTCCATCGCCTCCTACGCCAACAGCCAAACCAACACCATCCCAATCCCATCCTCCCAGTCCCTGCTTGAGCACCTTGCCCACATGCTCAATGAGACTCCGCCCGGGATGCTCTTTTTCGGCAGAGACGGGGCTGGCGGTGAAGATGACCACGACACCTCCTAGGACGGCAAGGACTTCAATGGCTTCGGGTGAGAGAAAGGAAGAAGACCATTCTGAGGGCGAAGAGATGAGGTCGAGCCAGATGGGGACTGTGGTGGTGTAGTAAGGTGTTTTGAGGTGCAGTGAATGTGTTGTTCCCGCGAGTGAGAGTGAGGGATCTGCTGGCGTTGAAGGGGATGATCCAGTGAGGTCTATATAGTTTCAGTCTCTGCTGTGCATTTTGCATGTGAGAATGTTTGACTCCTTCACTCATTGGGTAGTGAGTGAAGGTATATCATGGGTAACTCGGATATACAAGGACAACTCACCTTTAACCACACTCGACAGAATAGTCGTCTCGCCCTCCAGCGCCACAGCCAGAATCCTCCTCGACGCAGAGCTCATCTCTGCCTCTGCCATTGTTGCCTCTGGTTTCGCTGGTATTTCGTCCTGAGAACGGGTAGTTGAGTTGAAGGGATGGTTTACAGGTTCGTAATGAGTGAAGTGATGGTGGGGGGTGGGGGATCCATGATAAGATAAGCAATTGGCAATGCTTGGTAAGTCACCTACCCTGCAGCAGCGAGGGTAAGTGGTCTTGGGAAAAGCTTGACCTTGATAACAAGGAAGCCAAGAGATTGTAAATAATAATAATAATGATTGCATCTCATGGAAATATTTCTCTGTTCTCTGGGGCTCTTTAGGTAAAGTCTTCTCTTCTTTTAGTGTTACTTCGAGTGAGTTGACGTCCTATCTTGAATGTCCTCCCGACCGGATAACAACCATTGATTGACGAGTGTCAGGTGAAGTACAGTGAATGGTGTAGATCTTTTTGATAAACTGATTAATATGACATCAGAGTGAGCTTGTTTTATCAAAACCATGCTAAATAAACTCCTTGCCCAAACCAACTTCTTCCCATATCATAACACGTTGCCCGGTATGCATTCTCTTTCACCAACTAAACTCTACACCCAAGCTTCAGCGGTGTTACGGCTCTGGTATTGGCCGCTGGCCCCAAGCAATCATGCATTCTCTCAAGATCAAACTTTGTACGCCAACGCTTCAACAAAAGGAGTGGTGATCAAACAATGCGCCAAAAAAAAAAAAAACAATTGACAAAAGGAAACTTATTTCGTCAGCTCCTGATGCTGCAGGATGAGTTGCAGGTGCTGTCCACGTCGCCTCCCCAGCCAAACGTCCTCTGCACAACCTCCAAACCGGCCCTCATACCTCTGGCAAAGTCATCTGCTCCCGGTGCGTGGTACGCTTCGTCGATATCGTCCTGGCTCAGTCTTCCCTGGCGCCGTGCCAGCACCGCCTGCTCTATCGGACGGCGCCATAGACGGTACCATCGATCCTCACTCATACACGCGTATCGTAGCGTGCCCTGCCTGTCGGGTTGGCTCATGGGCCACTCAACATAGACCGTCTCAAACCACTTCGTCCTGATCGCGAGCCAAGGCCACGAAAAGAGCCAGAGGAAGGTGAAGTAAAAGGTCAGCGAGACCCACCGCGTCAGACGCCAGCGGTTTGTGCGGCAGTCGTTGTACAGCTCGACGCGCGCATGTGTCGTCGGGAACGTAATGTTGAGCTGACCTCGGTAGTTTGTCGCCCTCACCAGGTTGTTGAGCTTGGATCCCACGAGAGCAAAGTCCCAGCCCGTGATGCGGCGTTCCAGGACAAAGGCCTTGAGGCCCGCTTTGCTGCTGCAGTAACGCTCGCACCACTCAGAAACGCCGGGTGTACCATCCTCAGGTGGTCCACTGCCTCCAAAACCCGGTGCCCTAGTTGTCATGACGGTCCCACGACGGACCTTGTCAAAATTATTGACAGCCAGCAATCTCTCCCAGGAGCGTCGGGTAGCCATTTCCTCGTACAGCAGGGGTGTCAAGTCGATGTGAAAGTCAAAGTCGACCACGCTCTTGTCCTCTCGCTCCTTGCCCGACTTCTTCGACTCCCGATGCAATCCTTGAATGCGAACATATGGTCGAGGAGGCTCCTTTGCCAGGTCTTTGACGTGCTGCTCCAGAAAAGTCGGGTCCGTGTCAAGACGCTTGTCGAGGTAGTATACGGTTCTGTGATGCGAGTCTTCACTAAAAGGTTCCAGTCCGAGGCTGGACCCAATAAGGTCGAACGGGTTGGGGTAAGGACCCTCATTGTCGACGACGGTGTAGCTCGGAGGGGGGTCATCGTCGTGGTCATGGGCGAGGTCATGGTAAGTTCCTTCAGGGTGGTCTCGATATGGCACAGCAGCCTCCTCATCGTCGGGATATCGACGAAGCGGGACCGTGGAGCTTGTCGTCTGCCCCGACACCACGCTAGAGGCTTCGCCTGTCGACGGAGGCGTCTGCGTGGTTCCCGCACCGTCGGGATGGTCGCCCATGTCGAATGCCAGAGCCGGTGCGCAAAAGCTCAGCAAGGTTGTCGAGCGAGAGTGCGATGGTGCAAGGGAGAGAAGAGGTTGTAGATGGACTGACTGACTGACTGATGGATGTGGCTATTGAGCACGTGCACAAGCTCGCCACTACGAAGGGAAGGTAGGTAAAAGATGCAGCTGAAAGGCGTGACCTGGACACCGCCTGTTCAACCTGTAAGCAGCCAGATGACGAGAAGAGGAGACAAAGAGCGTGGAAAGAGGCCAAGTTCTTGTTTTAAATCAGGAGATAAAGTTTGTTGACACGATCGTCAATGACAACGAATCGTTCATTTGGTGACGAAGCCCTACTACGTAGCGAGTTAGAGTACGTACTCTGGTTCCTGTTTCTGCCTGAGCGCCTCGGCGTCTGTCCTCATTCCAATTGGAGGTTACGTGGCTGTTGCCGCGGAAAAGTCCAGTGAAAGGCAGCGCTTACAATGGCCTATCTAATAAGCACCATCTCACAAACGAAGCAACCCTGAGAGCATCACATTCTAGAGGCAGGCATTGTCTGATTCTCAGCCAGTTCATGCAAGCACCCATACCCTTCAAGGTCAACATGCCGAATTGCGGAGGTCGTGGTTAACCTTACTCCGCTTCGGCCCCACCTCCACATTCACGGTCCGCCCCGAGCTCGGAGCATCAACTCAACACCAAAACTCAATAGAGTGAATCAACGTAAAATAGCTCTAGTAAATAAGAACTACTGTCTATTACTTGCTTATCCAAGACTCAGGTGGTATCCTCTATAGCCACGCCGTCTTGTCGCTTGTAATTGTTCAATAAAAAAATGAATCCAGTTGTAATGAACACCAACCCCCACCGGCTCTGCAATGCAATGCATACATCGTACAAGAAGCCTCCCTTTTGTCTTTCATTGCCTTTCAGCTTACACTTGGCACTTTTCTTCTTCCATCTGCTTCCGCCTCCTCTCCTATGAGTCCACGTCGATTAGACGTCCGGAATCCCACTTCTTTTTGGCTGCCTTGATAAGCACCTCCAACTCGCCGCTCATCTCACACATGCTTCGGAATGTGCCGTCCTCCCTGTTGATCAACTCCCAGGGATGGGCGTACTCCACTACTTGACCCTTGTCCAACACAAGGACCTTGTCGTAATCCACAATCGTTGCCAATCGGTGAGCGATTGTAATCACCGTGCCCGTGAGTTCTCGAATGGTCTCCTGAATCTTCGAGTCTGTCGCGTAGTCGATGGATGCTGTCGCCTCGTCCATCACTAGCACTGTAGGGGCCTTGAGCATTGCTCTTGCCAGACACAAGAGTTGTCGCTGTCCTTGCGACAAGTTGGACCCCGACTCTGTCACGGGTGACTCAAGATCCAAAAAGATGTTCTTGTTGGTCTTGGCCACAGGTGAGCTTGGCGAGTTGGTGGCTGTCGGAGTTGGTGGCACCGTTCTAGGCTCGTCGGGTCCGATGAGTTGCACCCGTCGGAGTGCATCAAAGATCTCCTTGTCCTCGTACATCTTGAACGGATCCAGGTTGGTTCGGATCGTTCCGTGGAACAGTGTCGGGTCTTGTGGCACAATCGTGATATTCTCTCGCAGATCCTGGAGACCAATGTTGCCAATCTCCAGTCCGTCGATGAGAATCTTGCCCTTGTCCGCCTCTAGTGCTCGGAAGAGGGCCAGTGCCAAAGAACTCTTGCCAGCACCTGTCCTTCCGACGATGCCAACCTTTTCCCGGGGCTCAATCTTGAGCGAGATGTCTCGAAGCACCGGGTCGAGCTCCTTGCGGTAGCTCGTTGTGTAGTCCACAAACTCGACGGATCCGCTCTGGGGCCAGTTCTTGGGTGGTCGGTTGTCCTCAATGACGGCATCGGCCTCCTGCTCCACATCCAGGTATTCCTTGATACGTTCCATCGAGTTCATGTTCTGTTCGTTAACAGCATACAGTCGCACCAACCACAAGACGCTCTCAGTGAAGCTCAATGCGTAGCTCAGGGAAATACCAGCCGCACCAGCGTCGACCTGACCGAGGCTGAGAATGATGAAGACGCCTGCAAAGAAGGCTACCAAATCACCAATCACGTCTGCCCGGAAAGCCAGCCACCTATTGCAGGCCCATAGGTAGATGAAGGGTCGGGTCTGCGTGTTGACCTTTTCCAAGTTGTCCCTGATGAAGCGGCGCTCATCACCGTAGGCACGGATTGTTGTCATACCGCTCAGAGTCTCGCCAAATTGCTGGTAGAGAGGGCTGCGCTGGACCGATTCGAGACGCTTCAAGTCGCGGGATGCTCGCAGGTAAAAGGCGGCCACGACATAGAAGAGAGCAGCAATGAAAATTGCGGCAACCAGGAACATGGGGGTAATAGATGCAATCAGACCGACTGTCACCACGAGCGAGATGCTGCAGCTGATGACACCGATCGCCACAGGAGCAATCTCCTGATCGACCGCTTCCAGATCCTTGCTGAAGCGGTTCATCAACTGTCCCAGCGGCGTGACGTCAAAGAACTTGAACCTAGCTCGCGTCACTGATCCTACCAGGCGGCGATGAATGCGACCAGATGCCGTCAGAGAACCCAGGAATACCCAGAGATCTCTAATCAAAGCCGCAAGTGCGCCTGCAGCTCCAATCGCTGCGAGCACAGAAAGGTAGTACATGACATTAACAGGCTTTGCCGGAGTCATGCTCTGTCCAGCAAACTGGTCATGCGAGTTGCCCAGTCGGACCACGTTGGCAAACGATGTAGTTGAGAAAGTCGAGGTGGCGTGCGAGTTTGACTGAAGGCTCCAAGCCATCTGCTGCTCTGACGCGTTTCCTTGTGTTTCTGTATCCGGAACGTATTGGTTCGCCCACTCTCGAACCCAAAAGTTTGTTGCGACTCCCGAAAGTTGCTGCGTGGTAAAGACGAACAAGGCAACGATCCAGAACCACCAAGCTCCCATGGACTGGAGGTAGTACTTGATGACGGGCCACTTGACGGATCCAGTGGCCTTGGTCTCTTCCATGGCGTCCTTGGGCTTCTTCTTCTCGTCCTTCTTAGAGCTGTCCACGCCGTCGAGAGCATCACCCTGGCCATTGACCATGGTATCATCGTCACCAACGCTTGATGGCACACGAGACGGGATCCGTGAGGGATTGGCTGAACCGGGACGCGACTTCTGAATCTCCTCACCAAGCTTGCCCGAGGCAATGACATCCTTGGAAGATCCCTGAATATCAACGCGGCCGTTCTCCAAAAGTACAACGTAGTCGGATGAGGGAACGCAGAGAGTGGTGTTGTGAGTGACGAGAATGCAAGTACGGTTCTTCATGAGCGGGCCCCTGATGCAGTTGCTAAAGATCCACTGTGCGGTATGGGAGTCGACAGCACTGAGGCAGTCATCGAGGAGCAGGTGAGCCGAATTGGAATAGAGCGCACGGGCAAGGGAGATACGTTGCTTCTGTCCACCCGAGAGCGTGATACCCTTTTCTCCAACCAGCGTTTCGTCACCGTTGTCAAGAATCTGAAGGTCTCGCTCAAGCGCACAGGCAACAATGACGTTTCGGTACCGTTGCTCATCATAGGGGGTCGCGAAGAGAATGTTGTCCCGGATGTTTGCGTTAACCAGCCACGCAGACTGCGCGACGTAAGCAATCGTGTTGGCGAGGCCAGTCTCGGGGTCTGTAGGAACGTCTTCACGGCTGCGTCCACCGGGGCAGTAGACGCTGCCCTCCATCATTGTCATTTCGCCCAGAAGAGCCATCAACAGCGACGTCTTTCCTGATCCAGTTGGTCCCGCGATAATGTTCAGCTTCCCGAGTTGGAAGTCAATGTTCAGGTCCATGAGGCGGAAAGCACGGGAGCCGTCCTCGGCAACGGTATCTTTACCGCCCCAGATGAAGGTCGCGTTACTGAAACCCATGCGTCTGACACCTTCTTCGTCAACGTTGTCCAGGCCGAGTTGAATGTACTTGTCCGTCTCCTCCTCCTTGAGGAAGTCTTCAACACGCTCAATAGAAACCTTGGTTTCTTGAACATGGGCGAACATATCACCAAACTGATCAAGAGGGACACGGAGCAGCATGAAGAGTGAGATGGCCGTGAAGGCGACAGAGGGTCGGAGATCCTTGCCCTCAAAGTGGGTGTAGACGAGGAAGGAGAAGAAGGTGATGAGGACAGGAACCGAGTTCCAGATGGCGACAGCGAGAGCCCAGACCATGAACCTCGAACGCAAAGCCTTGAGCTCGTCTTGACGCTTCTCGTCAATGATACGGCCGAAGCGCTCCTCCCAAGCAAAGTATTTGATGATGCGGATGTTCTGCAGGACCTCGTTGGTGACGTTGATACGCTTGTCAGTCGCAGCGAGGATTCTCTTTGAGGTGATGGTGAAACCTCTGGCAAGACCATAGTTGACAGGCAGAAGGAAGACCATGACGATGATACCAGGAATGGCACTCAGACCCATGACCCTCCAGAGAAGAACGATGGCCACAATCAGCTGCGTAGGCGCAGATGCGCAAAGGAAGTGCAGGTAAGCCGTGACCTCGGAAATCTTTACACTGTCGACCGACATGAGGTTAATGATGGTACCCAGATTCGCCTGCTCGTCAGCGCTGGGATCCTTCTTGTCATCCTTGATGCTGCCGTTGGCGGACTCAGCATCGTCGGCAGTGGCCTTCTTATCTTCCTTCTTCATGCTCAGGGCCCGCTTGATCTTGCTAATAGCACCATTCTGGGGCTCATCCTTCTTGGTAGACTTGTCAGAATCAAGTAAAACCTTGTCCTTGCCCGAAGCTGCCTTGCGACGGAGGGCCTTTGCATAGATGTCAGCAATAATGATCGCCTTGACTCGGATGCAAATCTTTCGGCCAATCCACAGCGCAGCGTTGTCGGCGTAGGAGCGCACAAGATCCAGGACAGGAAGTCCGATGACCATAAGCCAAAGAACATTTCTTGGCCTTCCTTGGTCATCTTCAACGTATTGTAGAATCTCCTTCAGGAGCAAAGTGGGCGCAAAGGTGAAAATACCAGCCACAACAGCCAGGAAGCACTGGGTCAAGAGCAAGCTCTTGAAGTATTTGAGCAAGTGCATCGCCAGTGAGCCCGTCTGTTTCATTGCGCGATAGTCGGCCACAACAGCGGCGGCCTTGTCCTTGGGCAGCAGGTTCCAGACATGCTCCATCTCCATAGGGGCCTTCCAGCCCTTCCAGACGATCGCATCAACCCAGCCAAAGACGGCAAGGGAGAACAAACTAGCGAGCGGCTCGCGCGAGGGCTCGATACCGTCCTCCCATTCCATTAGAACCGTCTTGTTGCCCTTCCTAGTGGTCATTGCCATGCTGAAAAGCAAGGAAATGAGCGCAAACTCGATGATGAACACAGCGCGGACGAGCTGTGTAAGGTCTCTGATGACGCTGGAGCGGAATACAAAGAGGAAAAAGAGCCAATTGACGCCATAGAGGAAGGCAGTGTGGTTCCAGAGATGCGGGACTCGCCATTTCGTGTTACCGAAAAATAGGCGCAGGGTTGTGAGGATCAGGATGTAGGACCAATTGATGAGACCAGCAACAGCGACGATTTGGCCGTTTTGCTTGGAGTCGATGTGATAAACCAGCTTGATGGCGTTAAGAACGACTAGGCAGGCGACTGCCAGCTCCTCGACGACTTGCGAAAGGCGCTGACCAGGGGGGCTGTCGGCCTGGACAATAGAGCCGCGGGTAGTGGTCTTGACCAGGGCCAGACGGCCACCGTTAATCTCGAGTGCTTCGTCATCGTCGTCGGTGTCGTCATTGAAGAGGTCGCGCTCGGGAGGTAGATCGGTGTGACTGTGGCGGCGGTCCTGGCTAGAAAGTTGGCTATACCTGACTTTGGAGGCGGACCGCGAAGTGAGGATGCGGGAGATGCTCAGCTGAGAGAGGCGCGCAACGGACAAGACGAGGGCGATCAGAGGGAATAGGATCTGAAGGTAGCTACAGCGCGGCAATCGAGTCAGCCAACCATGGAAACGCGCGGGAGTGGAAACAACCGGGGGTGAGACAGGACATACTGGTGCTGGAAACGCAGGCTGAAGTCGCCCTTTTGGGGATTCCATATGGGCCCGTCATCCTGGGCGAATCCCATGATGTCGTTGATATGGGGCGTCTGTCAAGCTCACCTCGAAGCTTGGGGTGAGAGACAGGCGCGAAAGCCGAAAAGGAGGAGCGGGTTTCGAGGTGGAATCGCGACAATTGGGGTGGCAAGTTTTGGAAGAATTGGTTCCGTTAATGATGGGCCGGCGCGGGTACGGATGGGTATTTCGTCGAGGCGGTTGCAGGCGCGGGACCAGCAACAGCTGCGGCTGTGGCTGCGGCCTCGGAGGTCTCGAGTAGTCCCTTGCTGGGGTCTCCGCCGGGTTGAGGAATCAGGGTCGAGCCTTGGGAGTCTCCAGTATCAGTTCACTTGCCACTCAGAAGCAGCATTGGCCTGGGCGTGGCGTGACGTTGCTTTTTGCTGCAGAACCCGGATAGAGAGGTCGTTCGCGGAGAGCTCTCGATTGATAGTGTGTATGTACGCGGCGCCCCAAGTTTCGCAAGATCTGGATCTCTCGAGCAGCACAATGATGCGATGGGGGGATGACGGTCTAGATTTCCCGGTGTTCGGTCGTGTACACAGCTCAAGCTCTGCAGCCAAGTAAAGATATAGAAAAGATAAAGACCAATGAACAAGGGAAAGAGAAGAAGAAGAATAACAGATCTGCCAATAAAGTTTTACGATTGGAGAGGAAGAGGGAGGGAGAGGAGTGAGGCGGGCTGCGAGTGGGTGGGAGGGGGCGGGAGTATTAAGAGGCGGGAAGAATGTACGGCCGTTGTAGAAGCTAGACTAAACAATGGATGTGGATGTGGATGTGGATGGATGGACCCAAGAACTGTCGGTCGGTCAGTGACGACGGGACAGCGCCTTCCCTTGCTAACCAGGGAGCGAGCAAAGCACGTTAGCTGCCAGGTCGGAGTACCTTACGGAGTAATGAATCGTAGCCAGCTTCCAGGTGGGGCTTCCAAGCAGCCATGGAGCACGCGAAACCTTTTCTAGCTCTGTTACTACCTCGAAGGTCTGGGTTGTTCCATGTTGTGTTTTACGGCAGTCAGGCTGGCAGCTGGTAGCTGGTAGCTGGTAGCTGGTAGCTTTGGGTTGCTGGCTCTGACTTGGAGATTGCCCTCTCTCGCTCTACCCGGTAAACAATGGATGTGTCTATCCGGCATGTTCCCTTCAAAACAACAGATGATGCGAAAGGCGGAGCCCCCAGCTCTGACTGTGAATGGGCTGCGGGGACAAATCGAAGCCGTCAAACTCCGCTCCAATGAGGCGTTGTTCAAGATTCTAGCCTCGCAATTCCTCAGGACCATGTCGCACTGCAGCCTTCCATCCATGGATCCAAGCAAGCAAGTCACTTGCTGCTTGTTGACGGCAGCCGAATCGAAATCCTTGTTGCTGAGGATTCCCCAATCACGGGGCGTCATCATCATGCTCGCAGCAGGAAAAAGGAACTGGCGGGACAAGGGTTCACACTGGCTGAGATGGGATGCCGGGACATGCGAAAATCCATGAATGTCAAATTCTCGAATTGAACCGAACCGAGCTCCTGGAAGAACCATCCCATCGGCCTTTTGTTAGCGCACGTTGAGATGAATACCTAACCCAACTATGACAGCACGCCCTGGTCAAAAGGTTACTCGTCACAATGAGTTTATCTCTAGATGACGTACCCCTCCCTCTTGAGAGAAGCACGGGACAAGAAAAGCAAATTAGCTGCCGTGCTTGTCTTGACTCGCAGTTCCAGGGCGAGGCTTTCACGGCCGAGTCGATAAAAAAAAAATAGGACATGACGAGATGTCCCAAGGGCAGAGACAGAGCTGGAGAATGATAGCTGAGACAAACTGAGGGCTCGTGAGCTTTGCTCTGCAAGTTGAGGAACGTGGTTAAGACGACAACATGAGCCATGAGGAATGCTATTCTCCCATGTCCAATTTCCACACACAGACGTTTTGGAGTCGGTAGACTCGGCGACCGGCCAGCTGGGATCGAGATCGGTCTCACCATGTCTTGTTCGTCTGATGTTGTCTTCTTGGCAGATGTTGTTCATTCTTCTACCGAGACGGCGCCCTTTTTTCTAGTATGCCCCTTGTCTTCTCTTTTCTCTTATCCCCCCTCGTGTCAAGAACTCGGCCGTGACTAGTAGCCCCGTCGCGAATGTTGTTCTTGATAAGCTAAACAACAAAGGTCATTTTTGCGCTCTGGCTCTGATATGCTTTGGTCGTATTCGTTCCATCACTAGCCTCAAAAAGGCGTCGGCATCCGAAATGGCAGGACAGGCACCATCGTCACAGACCGGCCGTTGGGTTGGTGTGCCACCACGAGGCTCTGCAGAAAATTCTCCTGGTACGGTACCACGGATATACAATGTCGAACCCTTGTCGATACATTACCTGCTGAGCCAATCCTCCTCGCCAAGGCGAGCTGGGCCAGTTTTTCGGTCACTCTGTTCAGATGTTCAATGGTACTGTTCGCGTTCCAGTGTCACAACCTCCCCAGCTACCACCCTCGCGCTGAGAGGAATGAGGGAGGGGGGTGGTCAACTCCCCACAGTCGAAACCCCACGATGGGATGGGATCCAATGCACTCAAGAACCGGACGATTGCTGCAGGCCATTAAGAGCCGGTGAAAGGTCCCTTTTGTTGAAGCTGAGGATGAGCAGGGATTGAATCGTAGAGGAGGGTTGAACATGCCGCTCCGTGGCCTGAGCGTAAGCACCTCTTGAGGCTCGCATCCAGCCTAACCGAAGAAGCAGCTTCGGAACTTGTGTCACAAGCTTTTCTGTTTGGCGATGGGTGGTGAATGATGTGCAACTCGCACCTCAACCCAAGAAATGCGAGACCTCTCTTCCAACCGTATCCAAGCCTACAGAAACAGCTCTTTGTTTCTCTGCACACATTTTCGAGTCACGCAGAATTCCTCAGTCTCTGACGTCGACCAGATTCTGCGTCAAACGTGAAAAGAAGACCTCTGGATGTGAGCTCTAGGCCTTCTTTAGCTCCCAGCCACCTTTTTCTTCAACACTGGCCCTTACCCATCCGACCGTTGTCGCCCGCCGTTGCCAGCAGGCTAAGCTAACACTCTCCAAACAATGCCCTTTGTTTGTCACGTTACCAAGGGCTGTTTCCTGAGGGCCACCACTGCTGATCTTTGTCCGCCTGTTAACTTGCCTAGATCTGTGCTACCTCTTTATTGGTGATTCCGAACGTCAAGTCAGTCTTGCTTTCTGTTCAACACCCGGCCCCTGGCCAATGTCACCCTGCCTTTCCTCGTAATTGGCTCTCTTTGGGTATCTCTTCCGGCCCCTAGGAAGTGATGCCTAGTCGCTATCCCTAAACCTGACATGCATTCACAAGCCGTTACTCACCGCCGGAGGGATAATGCTCCTCATGATCCCTCCAGCCTTGGGGCCTGTTTTATTCGCCAATTGGGTTTCTCGCCTGTAGGGATAAGAACCATCGCGTTTGGCGGCGCTGACACCATCGATCCCGCGTTGCACTCCGGTTCACCCCTTGCTCCCCGTGTGGGTTGCACGCAGCTCCTCTCCCGCGTAACCGCCTCATACCTGCATACATCACCTCGCTCAGGGAAGCTCGGCCAATTGATACAACGCGCGCCGATTACTTTGCACTTGATGACCTTTTGCTTGTGCTAATAGAGGTCGTCTCGTTGGTTCACGGTCGCTTGTGTTGCTGCTTCTGGCTTTCCGGCCTGGCCTCACTCATGCAGGGCCTGTGGGACTTGGGGGCTTGCATCATGGGACGATACAAAAGAGGAGTTGCTTTTGACCAACGTGATTGTGTTTGTTGCATTATGAGTATGCAGGTTACCCTCTTGAACTATTGCTTCTGACCTGCCTTTGTTCCCCCAGCACCAGGGTCCATAATATAATTAGTCGATGATGATATGTAGCTCTAGGCCGATCCAACCCCCATGGTCTGTTTATGGTAGCACATACAAGTTGCTAGCGAAATCTTGGCCAAGCGTGTTTGCTGCACGTGTTTGGTTGACCAACTTGGTTGGTATTGGCCTTGGACAAGATATCTTAACCTAGGGATAGAGGAATTAAAAGGAGTCCTGACAAGCTAATATTATATAAATTCCATGTATCTTCTCATGGTATATACTAAGCAGGCAAGTTAATAGTCATTCTATAGCCGGGCACCCATCCATGTATGGATGCTATCATGAGTCTCATCTACCCCATACTCTTCATCTTGCCCTACCCTGTAGTCATGATAGTTGCAACAACCCGTCATACTGGTCTGTCAAACACCAAATTCAAGACATGATACACAATAGTATGACGAAACTCGTACGCATTGTAGCATTAAGTTTGTCATTCATAGATCATTCGAGTTAGGTACAATGGGCCTCCTTGTCCACCACCAACGCGTGGCCTTTGACATACATGGCCACCCCCTCCGAAGAAACCCATAATGACAGATATTTAGACATGTGTGGTTTTAATCTTGACACGACATCCCTTGATCGCCGTCCCAATGCCATTTCCAATCCAAGTTGACCTCACTCTCCCGACTCCTCTGGCTCGTGGTTGTAAAAAGGAAACAAAAAACCATGTATAACTATTTTCTTTCTCTTCCTCTTTTCTGTTAATACACATTCGCCTGTCTGAAGCAGGCGCCAATGCCAAGGCTGAATCAATCGTGCCCTCCATTGGCTTCATAGTGGCTGAGATTAGCCCATAATCATGCCCTTCATGCCGGAAAGATCTCCTTCCTTGGCGGCGATTTCGAAGTAACCGTAGATGATACTGCAACTAGTTAGCGAGTGTGTCTTGACTTGGGTGTATTGATATGATAAACTTACGTGACAGCAAGGAGAGTACCGGTACCGGAGCCCAGGGCTCCCATAAGGTCGCTGGAGACCGAGAGCGCACCAATGCAGGCACCGCCAAAGGCAGCGGCAGTGGGGATGATGCGCTTCAGCTCCTTGTACATGCTCTGGTCACGGTGACCAGCCATGACAAGACCCTGGTCCTTGAGCTGCTTGGCAACGTCACGGGGGCTGGAGCCGGAAACTTCAATCCAGGTCTTGGAGAAGAGGGCGCAGGCACCGAGCATGTAGACAATGTAGGCGCTCATGTGGATGGGGTCGAGGAGAGCCTCCTTCAGGTTCTGAGGGGGAGACATGTAGTAGACAAGACCGGAAACGGCGTGGAGCTGCGAGGAACCGTCCTTGGCCTCCCAGACACCGAAGAGACGGACAAGGAGGTTCTCAGAGAAGCGAGAGTAGAGCATCTGGCTGATAAGGAAGATGTTGGAAGAAAGAGCGGACTGCAGCATGATGGGCATGTTGGAGGTGTAGAACAGGCGGACGGGGTACGAGCCACGAGCACCACGCTGGCGCGAGGACTTGACGGGGATCTCGACGCGGAAGCCCTGGAGGTAGATGACAGCGGCGAAGACGGCGAGGGTGGCCAGAAGGTTCATGATGTTGGGGAGGTTCTGGCGGTAGAAAGCCTCCTGGAGAGCGCGCTGCTTGTTGGGCCAGGTCATGAGGAGGTGGAAGAGGGCAATGACGGCACCCTCAAACTCGGGACCACGGCCAGTGTTGATGGTGGTGGGAGAGAAAGCCTTCCACATGATGGACTCGCAGATGTTGGTGGCAATGAACAGAGAGATACCACTGCCAAGGCCGTAACCCTTCTGGAGGAGCTCATCGAGGAGAATGACAATCATACCGGCGACAACCAGCTGGAGGATCAGGAGGAAGACGATACCGGCACCGAGGTCGGAAGGAGGACCGTAGAGGCCGCTGAAGACGTAGACGGTGGCGGTACCAGCGGACAGGATGAAGGCAAGGAGTTTCTGGGCGGTCTGGTAGAGCTCGCGGTCCGACTTGAGGTCGAGGTTGACATCGATCATGTGGGTACCGGCGAGGAGCTGGAAGACCATGCCTGAGGAGATGATGGGGGTAATACCCAGTTCCATCAGGGTTCCACGGTTACTCGCAATGACCATTCGCAGCCAGTATAGAGGGTCCGAGTTGTCGGAGGAGACGATGCCGTAAAGGGGCATCTGGCTCATGACCAGGAAGATGAGGAGCGTAAGGGCGGTCCACATCAGCTTCTGATTGAAGGGGATCTTGGTCTCCGGCTGCTGAACCTCTGGGAGGAACGGCACGAACGGCTTGACCAAGTCAAGGAAACGGACTGTGTCGCAAGAAAGGCATGTCAGCTTGATTTCAATCGGGGCGATGCGAATCGCCAATTGCGCGCATCCTCAGCTGTCGCGCATGCTCGCCTGGCGAAGCTGGGAGCTCCGCGCAAAGGAGAACCAGGAGAGGCAACTTACGGGAACTCATGGTGACGACGGCAGACGACAAAGAGGAAGGAGGAGAAGAATTGGATTAATTCATCCAAGGGAAGGAATAAAGAAAGAAAAGGAAGAGGAAGCCTAGCTTGCAGAGCCCAGGCGATTTGAAGGGTCGATGGGAGAATTAAAGGAGAGCTGGGGGGCGGAGGTTGGCGATCTGGCTTCAATGGCCAAAATGTAGATGTGTCCAATATTGGGAGTGGAGTGAGCACGTGACCCACCTTAGCCAGCTGTCCTTGCTTCCTCCGCCTTCCAAGCGTCCAACAACGGAAGGCACAAAAGGGGTCTCAGCCATTTTTGTGTGGCTTTCACGGGGCCGCCGCAATTTTTCCGTTAAAATGGTCTCCGCTTCCCCCTGTTCTGGAACATTGCGCCTAAACATATCCCGGTCACCGGCTGTGGCATTTTGATCCTTGGAGACGCACCAATTTTAATAACTAAGTTGTTGTTGCTCTGGGCTTGAGTTTAAAGAAAGATAGGCACGCGCGATGCGCTGTTGAAGTCTATTTTTTCTCTCTTAAATGCTGAGACGCATGGGACATTTGCTAAGACGCAATGTTGCAACAATGGCCACTTCAAAACCTCCAGCTGAACCCCTCGTGGTCGTGCTGGGATCCACGGGCACGGGCAAGTCTGAGGTATGTTGGCTAATATCTTGCTTATTCTTGGAGTTTCTAACAAGTTCCGCAGCTAGCAGTTGAGCTTGCGACTCGGCTGAATGGTGAAATCATCAACGCCGATGCCATGCAACTTTACAATGGACTCCCAATCATCACTAACAAAATCACAACCGAGGAACAATGTGGAGTTCCTCACCATCTACTGGGCCACATCTCACTGGATGAGCAGCCATGGGACGTGGACGACTTCAGGCGAGAGGCTAACCACGTGATAGGGGAGATTCGTGGTCGAGGTCGTCTGCCTATTCTTGTGGGCGGCTCTCAGTATTACGTTGACCCCATCCTCTTTGAAGAGGTCATCCTAGAGGACATTGAACTGGACACGTCTACGTCATTTCCCATCCTGCAAGAGTCAGGCGAAGTTATGCTTCATGAGCTGCGCAAGGTTGACCCCGAGATGGCTGATCGTTGGCACCCTAACGATCGCCGCAAGATCCAGCGATCTCTGGAGATTTATCTCAGAACTGGCAAGCGTGCCTCTGAATACTATGCGGAGCAACAGGCTCGCAAAGCGGCGGCGCAGCAAGACGGCAACCGAAGGCCCTGGGAGAATCTTCTCTTTTGGGTTTACTCGGAGCGGGAAGTCCTGCGCGCGCGTCTTGACGCACGAGTTGACAAGATGCAAAATGGCGGGCTCATGCAGGAAGTCCGAGAACTCTATGACTTTAAGCATAAAAAGGAGGCAGAGGGCCGAATACTCGACATGACAAAGGGCATCTGGCAGTCAATCGGATACAAGCAGTTTGAGCCATACTTGTCTGCCATGGACGAGGGTCGAGAGGCTTCAGAGCTTGAGAAGCTGAATAATGCCGCCCTCGAGGAGATGAAGACGGCCACAAGGCGATATGCTGTCTACCAGACTCGCTGGATCAGACTCAAGCAGATACCTCGATTACGAGAGGTTGGACCCGAGGCGATGGGCAGCCTTTACCTCCTCGATAGCACCGACATTTCTAAATACGGCGAAAATGTTGTCGACCCTGCTGTTCGATTAGCAAAGCAGTTTCTCAATGGCGAGGAGCGTCCATCACCAGCTGATATCTCACCCTTGGCCAACGAGGTTCTCACGCAGGTGGGCAATCCACCTCCCAAGGCGACGCCATGCAAACGCATGTGCGAGGTATGCCATACTGTCTTGATGACTGAGGAGGCTTGGAAGCAACACTTGAAGAGCGCTACTCATCGTCGGGTGGTTCGGAAGAAGGCGAGGATGTCGCTTGTGCCGGTTGAACAAAAGCCTGAAGATGGCAAATCGGCACAAGCTGATGAAGAGGATTCTGGTCCAGAGATAGGATCCATGTTTTCAGAATAGGAAATGACAAATCTAAATTCACAATCTGTCTTTGTCGCGTAAGATGATAATTATGGTCAATACCATCCCGTGTGTGATCCCTAAGAACGTTCCGTCTCATGTCTGTCTTTCCTCCCATGCCGGCCTTCCTAGGTATCACCATCGCGCCGACTTCGAGCATTCATGTTGTGTCGTTGAGCATCCCCAGATGCCGTAGCCGACGCCGGCTCGTTCCAGCAACCTCGTTCTGTCATGCAATTCATCTAAGAGTACTAAAGTTACCTATCATCTCAGTGCAAACTTTATACAACGTTCATAAAAGATTACAAAGTTTTCTCTGCATACTTTCCTAATCTCATAAACGAAGGGTGGCCTTTGTCAGAGAGTCGCACTAGGTACGTTTTCTGGCAGCCTTCTTGGCCTTCGCAGCCTCCTTGAGCTCTTTGAGCTCTTCATGGATTGCCAAGTGGTCGGCATTGTCATGAGCGCCGACGTCTTTATTGTGGCTGTTGCTTGCCTCCACCGCTGGTTTCCCTTTATCAGAGCGCTTACGCTTCTTTGTCGTAGCATCTTTGGTGTGCTTAGTTGTGGTTGACTCCCGCTTTACTGATTCGGGGCTTCTCGCTCTTCTTGATAGCTTTCATCATGGCTTTATCGAGACCCTTGTGGTGCTGGCTCTCTTTGAAAACTTGAGCCTTCGTCCGCCCGTCCTCTTGGGACTTCCACTTGTTCATATGGGATGTCGGGAATGCATTCTGAACTGGATGACCGCCTTTATGACCAGAAACGTGCCCGCCTCAAAGATGATTTTGAGCAACGTCAGAGCTTCCTAGGAAGGCGTAGCTCTCGTCAAGCGATGGTTGACAATCGAACTCGTAGAGTTAGTGATCCCGAGCTACGTGGAGGTTTCCAGCCAAATCTTGCGGGCTGCTGGCGACATCTGGTATGCCCATCACTTCCAGTGCTCCGATGCTTCTTCATACCGGTCCCAGTTCTGGAGCGTCGGCGAGACTCCCTCTGTTGGTGGCGGGGACAAGAATCGTGGGTATCCCGTAGAGATGCTACCGGGGAGACCGTGTACCGATGAACGTTGAGGGAAGATCCCATTCTTGGGGTTGGGTTCCGTGAAGCAATCCGCGTATGCAACCAGCGGCCAGTTGGTCTATAGCATCTTTCTCTTCCTCGCCACGGTACTCTGTCGGTGGGTGAGTCTCTCCCGGATTCTGGTGGAGAGCTCAGGTCCTTCTGGGTCCTCTTCGATCTTTGGGTTGGCTTGTGTTGTACTGTCTCTCTTGGTGTTGCCTTTTAGCACGATATCTTTCACTGGATCTTTGGTCTTGTTCAGAGCGTACACGCGCGCCAAGTCGTCATGGGAAGCGGTAGCGACGCCGTCGCAGATCTTGATGCCGATGTAAAGAGCTCCTTTCTTCATCGCGACTCTCGCTCACTACGTTGGTCTCAAAGTATTGGGTCGCCATGGTGCCGAAGTCGTTGTGGAGGGAGAGCCAGCGAGCGAGAGATGCTGGAGCGGAGTTGAGATGAGGTGTGGTCATGAAGCAGGCAATGTGCGAAGGGGGGAGAGGATGAATAATCAATACCTTAGAGAGGATTTAGCGAGGAAAATGTGAAGGGTTGATGAGCAGAAGGCGAGGAGTTTACGAGGAGGAATTAATGAGCCAATGAGGCGAGCATAGATTCACATGGACAATTTTTCGGGGGCGTAGCTAATACGTCGTGACTATGGTCTTAGTCAAGCATAGATGAGCAAATTGAACACCCTTGTTCCTTTTACACTTTCCTCCAGTAACATGTTCCCTTCTCAGAAATAGGTCGAGATTCGCATCACAGCCACGTACGGCACCGTTTCGCCTTGGTTCAAGATGTAGAGAGCACAACCTCCTTGGATCCCATCCAGATAATCTTGCGTACCTGATGAGAAAAGTATCCAACTCCAAGGTCAAACAGCACCGCCGTCTCCATGATTCCCAGTCTACTTTTCAATCTCGGCCTTGACCCACTTCTCGAGGCCACCGCGAGCAATGATCTCCTGGACGTTGGGAGGCATCTCACCAACCTTCTGGCTCCACGTCTCGCCGTTCTTCTCGGTGACAACCACCTTGCTGCGGCGGAGATCCCAGAGGAGCTTCCACCCGGTGCGGCGCGTGAGGGGCTTCTCGGCGTCGTTCTTGTAGGTCTCGCGGAGGCGCTCTACGAGGCGTGGCACCTCAACACCCAGGAGGGCGTTATTGATGCTGTTGCGGCTGAAGATGTTGCCAAAACTTCCTGAGACAACCAACGGGATCTCCTTGGCCAGAATCGCGGTCGCGGCCTGCTCTCGGGATGAGCCACAACCAAAGTTGAAGCCGGCGACGAGGATGTCACCTGCGCGGGCTGTGTTGCGGAACTCGGGGTCGTAGTTCTCCATGCACACCTCGCTCATCTGCTCCCTGGTTATACCATCTTGATAAGTGTATTTTCCTGCATCATTTGTTAGTCCATTCACTATATTAAAACGGCGATTCGCTCTCACCCGGATAGATGCCATCGGTTGATGTTGTCGGCGTCGCAAAACACAATCTCACCCTCGATCTTCTCAGGAAAGCCAGGGATGATGTCTGTGAGTGTCTCTTCCCCCTCCCCCTCAGCCTCAGAAGCAGGAGCAGCGGTCTCGGCCTCTGCTCCGGAGCCGTCCTTTTCAGCAACAGCAATCATACTCTCAGCCTCTGCAATGATCTTGTCGAGAGCGTCTTCAATGGATAGGGCCTTGTCTGCCACATGATCTCCGCTGCCCTCTCCGATGATGACCTTCTCGACGCCCTCGGGCTTCTGGTACCAGCCGGGCCCAGCAATCTTGCCCTGAATGGCACTGGCAGCAACGATCTCTGGGCTGGCGAGGTATGCCTTTGCAAGCGGCGAGCCCATGCGTCCCTTGAAGTTTCGGTTGGATGCGCTTATGCCAACCTCGCCTTCTTCAAGAAGGCCTGTCCCGAGTCCGATACACGGGCCACAGCCGCTGGGCAAGAACTCAGCACCGGCCTCGCGAAGAACGTCCCAATCGCCGGCCTCCTCTGCAATCTTCTGCTCCAAGATGGATGCTGCAGCGACGTAAAACTTGACACCGGGCGCAACCTTGGCCGATTTGCCCTCCTTGGCGGCCTCCCGGAAGACGCGAGCGGCGGCAGCCAAATCAGAGGCCCGGGAGTTAGTACATGACACAAGACTTAATCCCATATTAGTAGCCTTCACTCGACCACGGGCCATCTTGACTTACTAAGCCTTATCAACGGAGATGTTTTGAGGTTCAAGATCTCGGATAGGAGTGGCAACCTTGACCGTATTCTGTCGTCATGTTTGATATTGTGAGACGGTCGTCGATGGGAATGCTGTGCATTGTTTGATCTGATCCGGCGAACTCGATGGCATGGTTCAGAACCTCATCCTTGTTGAAGAGACCGCAGAGGGCAACAATGACGTCCTTTCCTGTAACTCCAGGGGGCAACAGTCCGGTGAGCGTGATCTTGGCGATCGGGGGAATCTGCCACCAGGTACGTTCCGTTGACCAGATAGCGGCAGCGTCTGTTCTAACGACAGGGGTTCTTGTATCATGTTAATCTTAGTCCACTCTTCGAATTCATGAACGAACCCAAGACACCCAATTCCACCATAGATATTCGAGTGACTATCAGATGCCACAGCAAGGCTTCCTGGCCAAGCATATCCTTCCTCGATCATGATTTGGTGGCCTATGCCTCGCCCTGCTGGGTAGCTAGTACCAGTCAGTGGAGGTTATCGCAACAGTTCCACCAGCTTACAATGCGGTGCCATGCTTCTCAGCGAACTCTTGGATGTTTTTATATTTGCGCAGGTTGGCCTCAGTCTTGTTCTGAGTGTCGTGGTCAAGTGTCTGATGAATTTGAGGCCTGTCAGTAATTAACAACCAGTGTAGTGTATCGGAATAGTCGAGTGTCTTGCCATAACGATTTGTGACGGATTCTTGATTTGGGTGGCGCCGATAGACATCATTTTTAAAGCGACCGGCCAACTATTGTCATGTGCTAGAGGGTAATTAGCTAGGTTCATCTGGAGAGAAGTGAAGAGACGAACTCATGCACTGCGCAGGCTGCAAAGTCACATAATCCCCAGATTTGACCTTCTTGCCAGGGGCAAGGCCAACCGAGTACCGCTGTACAATCTTCTCGGTGAGGGTCTGAGGAGTCGAGGGAGCTGTTGCGGAGGCGGCATCGAGGGAATTGAGGAGGTCGGCGGCGTTGGGCGCATTCTCAAGCTGCGAGTGGAATGCCTGTTGTCGGAGAGGACGAGACGTCGAGTAGGCGTGGAATTGAGAGACAGCAGCAGAGAGAGACTGAGATCGGACGACGAGGCGCTGTCCCGAGAGACTCGAAAGCCTAGACACAGTCGAGAGAGCGACGGCTCTTCGCTGTAGTTGGCGCATGTGAGTCAGGAAGCAAGACGAGAGTGAATGAGTGTATCAACTTACAATTGGTGTCATGATGAAAGCTTGTCGACCCTATACAACCCTGATATCCTTAAGAACTAAATATTAGAAGGGATAGTTGTGTAGGCAGCCACAGCTTGAGGAGTTGCAAAGAGCGACGTTGAAAAAAGTTGTGGATAGCTTCATCCGATGGTCGGCCCCAGATGTCGTCGCAAAGCAACACTCGCCCCAAAAATTGCGTGGGGTAAAATCAGCCGAACTCGGGCACACGCCATTGGCCGAAGCACTACCGACCGGGGAAATGGAAGATCCGTCCGTCCCCGTTAGATGCCTACGGCTTTACTTGCATGACGCTATCCAAAACACGGAAACTGCAACTTTAATGCGAAAAGATGGGGTCATGCAAAGGGATCCGCACTGTGGGAGAGCTGGCTGATACGGCAAAACTGGGTGGCAGATTAAGCTTTCCCACAGTGTCTCCCTAGCTCAAAGCTTCCGAAGCATCCGTGTTGCCGCTCTTTTCGGGTTGCCTGCCGTTACTTGCTTCCTGGGCCCTGCCAACTTTAAGAAAAACCATAAGATCCAAGTTCCTATCTTTACTTACCAAGCAATTCAACGTCATTGCGCTTTGTTGCGGACTTTTGACAGTTCAAAACCAGCTTTCGAAACTCTGGATCGAGTTCCCGAATCTTCTCTTTGCCAAACTTAGCTGAGCTGATAGCATCACGGCGCACGTGCCCGAAAACCCTCTAGTTTCTTACTACCCAACCTGAGAGGACGATCTTTGAACCCGAACGGCGACGACGGGGCCGCAGGTATCATTGGCATCTGTCCCTAGTCTTTCCGAGCGCGCATTTTGCAATACTGGCGTAGGTTCAGTTGTCTCATCGAGTCACGGATCCAGCGCCGTCTTACGCCAGGGCTTGAATATCGCGGGTCTCGAGTCATTCTGACTCATTTGAACGGCGCAAATTTGATCGAGTCGAGTCTGCAGAAACTTCCTCAAGTCCGCAGTATATCACAACTCGTTTCTTCCGCCGTTCCTCGCCGGCTGAGTCCCAAGTTAGCAGTTTTCACGCCCCCCTGCATTTCCCTTTTGGACGGAATTTTTGCTGTCAACTCCGCCGACCTCCACCTCCACCTCCGCCGCCAACGGCCGAAACCCCGTTGATTTGCCCTCCGTTATTTCGCTGCGGCACCTCGTTTTCGGAAGAGACAGGGATTGGCAGGCAGGCGCATTATTGGCCCATCCAGGCTAGAAGCTTCGATTGGACTCAGTCACGCAGTTTATCGAAAAGCGGCAGGCTCCAGGCAAAAATACCTACCAGGTAGTCGGCGTCCGGAGACCACGGCGTCCGTCCTGTCGTCACAGGCTCACATCATCCATCAACCTCCCACCAGATTGCCAAACGACGTCTAGCCATCCCCCTTGGCAATCTGTCAGCAGCCGAAACATCCTTCTCTTTCGGATCGACCTTTGAACACGCGCATTACGGATTCGGAAAACCCCTGTCTGTCGCATACGTACGCAGCTCTTGTTCTCATCTCCAGAGTCCCAGTACTCCCAGAGCCTCCTGGCGAACCCTGTTCTCGTTCCCTGGCTCTTTGGCTCCCTCTCAAGCGCAGCTTCTTCTTCCCATCTTGATCTTCACACCCCCCGTAATTGTCGTTTCCTCTGCGCAGCCCAAGTTGTCGTCAACTCATCTGATTGATTGACGGGAGGCGCTGGTTCCGGCGCATGAGACTGGACGCCCCTGCTTAGCACACCACCTACCTACCTACGGGCTACCACTGACAGACAGTCCGCGGGGACCCGGCACTGCCTGGTTGGCACCTTACCTTGCAACATCCATCCCTTCGCCAGGCACCGGCTTTGTGCAACTCTTCCGCAGCTTCGCGCCAGCTTGGCCTTTAGATATCGCCACTGGTACGGACAAGCCGGCTCTTCCATATCATCCTCCTGTCTCGTCCCGTCCCGTACGAACCCTCCTGGCTCTCTTGCAAAAATCGTTTTGCCCCTCCCCCTCACTCTCTCATGATCCTAGCCCCTGTGGAGCTCTTGTCAGCGTCATAGGGCCTCTACTCTGAGATCTAACGTTATCTTTCCGCGACAACACCTACCGTTTGGCATGTGAGACGTTTCTTGAAGTGAAGCGCATCGAGTTCTGTGGACATGTCGACAACGACGACGCCTGGATCTCACAAGGCGCCCAGAGTGTTGGCCTGCGTCTTGTGTCAGCATCGCAAGATCAAATGCGACCGCAACACGCCTTGCTCGAATTGCATCAAGGTGCGTCAGCTACCTAGCCCGTCCCGCTGCATTTCGCTTATCCATATCGCGCCCGCGTCATTTGTTTGGCTTCTTGATGCCTTCCGTGTCTGCCTTGTGTCCCTGTGCTCTTTGTGCCTCAGGTTCCATGAACTTCAACTTACCAGCTAAGCCAGGCCAATGTTACGTGCACACCAAGCACTCCAGCTCCCGCAAGGAAGCGTCGGAGACCGAATCAAGACCTTCAGGAGCGACTCGCTCGATGTGAGCAGTTGCTGAAGCAGTATGCCGATGGTACCGTGCCATCCCCATCGGCGCAGGCCTCACCGGCCATGAACAGTGCCATGTCGGATGTCATGGTTAGCACCCCGAACAACTGTGACGCCCAGACGAAATGGAAGCCGACTGGAAAGATGGTCAAGGAAGAAGGCGGCGTGCGATTTATGGATAGTTATCTGTGGGCCAACATTCATGAAGAGGTGAGCATGTCCAGTGTGTCTCAACGAGTCTGCGAAACTGACGCTCGGAACAAGCTCCAAGCAATGAAGGAGATTGTCGATACCGACGACCCCGAAGATTGTAGTGTAATGGGCTCTGAGGATCTGAGCCCAGACTACAACATCGACCTTCTCCTCCCTTCGGATGCTTCAAGCGGATCCAACGAGGATCCTCAGCCAGATCCAGTCCATGTCTTTCGACTCTGGCAGTTGTTTGTGGACCGCGTTAACCCTTTGACCAAAATCATCCACGTCCCATCAGTACAGCCATATGTGATGGAAGCGGCGACCAACATGAACAATATTCCGCTAAACTACCAGGCCCTCTTGTTCTCCATCTTCACCATGGCTGCGGTGTCTCTCTCCGATGCCGAAGCGACGCAGATGCTCGGATGCTCGCGCGATGACGCTCTACGCAAGTACACCATTGGAACCAAGATGGCATTAACCAAATTCAACTTTCTCAAAAACTACGACATGGTAGCTTTGCAGGCATTGCTGCTTTATCTGGTGAGATGTTGCGCTTCAACAGTCTTGACGTGTGCTGACGGTTATAGTTTTCTCTTCAGAACCGCTACGACAGGCATGCCGCCTGGATCCTTAGCGGAATGGTCGTCCGGATCGCCCAAAAGATGGGATATCACCGTGATGGCGAACTCTTGAACCTCAACGCCTTTGAAACCGAGATGCGAAGACGTATGTGGTGGCAGATCATTCTACATGATGCCAAGAATGCCCTGGTTTCCGGGCTTAGCCACTCGATGCTCCCCAGCAGCTGGGACACCAGAATGCCACAGAATGTGAACGACGCGGACCTGTTCCCTGGATCGAACGAACCCATTCAACCGCGCGAGGGCCCAACAGAGATGGCGTTCTGCCTGATCGGTTACCAGATTGCCAAGTTTCTGGTCCACGCCGAGTCCCTCCATGGCACCCCAGGATTGGAAGCTGCCATTATGGGCGATGACTACGAGGACAGAGATCCTGATATGTTTCCCTCCATCGAAAAGTACCGAGAGCTTGTCGACGACCTCGAGAAGGGCTTGCTGGAGGTTGAAGCCCGCTACATCGATCCCTCTGCTGGACCTATCCACCTTGCAGCCCTCGCGATACGTCCAATGCTTACCAGCAAGATGAGAGAGATGCTAGTGCCCATGAGGGAGCAACCAGAATGGGGGACCGAGATCCTTAACAAGAAGGACAACCTGTTCAAGATTGTATTGATGAACAATGAGCACAGCACCAATGCTTATGAGGTAATGGAACACGCAGGGTTCTTGTGGTTTGTCAAATTCCACTTCCAGATCGACATCTTCACCGTCATGACGAAGCAGCTCAGCCAGCGCCCGACTGGCTCTCTTGCGGACCGCGCTTGGGGTATGGTGGAAAAGATTTACCGATTTCACCCAGAGCTTTTGGACATGAGTCAAAAGGTGTACGTGATACAGGCTCAGACTGTCCTAAAGGCATGGAAAGCCCGCGAGCAAGCCTTCCGACAGGCAGGTCAACCAGTCGAATGCCCCAGCTTTATATACCGTGTCCGCGAAGCTCTCACCAATGATGGGCGCAGCTCTGAACCACCACCTCAGCCGCCAGCTACTCAACCTCCAACATCGGTGGCCCAGATGACGGACCTCGATCCATTCCTGGGTGGCTATCTGGACGTTTCGACTCTCAACTGGGATATGTGGGGGAACATGAACCAGCCACAGAATCAGCTTCCTACTTCACTGTTTGGCAACTTTGGCATGGGGAGTATGAATTGAGGGGTCTCAATGCACATGAATTAATCATCTTGGAAAAACGGCGCGGCTGGTACGAGGCTAATGAAATGGGAATCTCCACGGAGTCGGTTGTACAATTACATATAGAGCGATCTGTTTGGGCGCCGGTAGGCTAAATAGATGGTTGACATATACACGCATACTCGGGCAAGGATGCTTCTTCCTACATGTACTTTATGAACACTCGGGATAGGGCAGTCTACGCTTCGGAAGGATGCTTCTTGTATGTATCAGTAACGGACATCAGTTCACAACAATCAGGCAAAGTGTGTCAATGACTTTTCTTGGCGGTCTACTTGATCGAGATGAACCTTGCTTTCCCCCTGTCCACTCAGACCCCATATGTTCCTTGCTCTCTCTGTCGTCCCCAATTCCATCCCATGTTCATATCATCCCACAGGTGCTGACTTGATTCCATCGAGGAAGGTTGGCTTGTCTTGTTGCTTCTCAATGGAGGTTGTCGTGTTTGTGCCTAGGCGGTGGCAGGGCGAGGACCGTCGTGACCCTGGCCACGGCCGTTGGCGATCTGCTGCTGAGCACCGGCGTCCTGGTTCTCACCATTGCCCTGGGCCTCGTTGTCAGGGGCGCGGTCACGGCCGGTGACAGCGCGGGCACGCTCAAGGATCCAGCGAAGGTACTGGATAGCAAAACCCTCGCGGATGGGAGCCTGGGGGAAACGCTCCCAAGACCCGTTGGTGTAGTGGAGAGTGCGAACGGGGCCATCGGTGCGAGCGGGACGGCCATTGTTGCGAGCAGGGCCGCCAACGTTGGCGTTGTCGTTGTTGCGGACGGGGCGAGGCTTCGCGACAAAGACGACATATCCGATGATGCCCATAACGATGACCATGAGACCAGCACTGACGGTCACGACCATGATGGTGCTGTTGTTGTCCTCGGGCAGAGAACGGGGCATGACGTGAACCGACATGTTGCTGGTTGTTCTCCTGCGAGTTAGTTCTTGTTGAGCTTGAAGTAGTTCAGCATCAGTACATACCCGTTGGTGCTTGATGAGCTTCGTTGTGGTGTTGTTGTTTCAGTAGGAGGGCTTCGTCCTTTGATACGAGCTGTAGCTGTATGAAAGGATGAAGAGAAGATGTTGAAGAGTTGATACGTGACAAGAAAAGAGAAGGTATATATATGGGAGTGTGTAAACGGCGTTGAGAAGGAGGACAATTGGATTGAAGCATTGTTGAATAGAGGGACGAACGATGATGTAAGTTGAATGGTGAGTATAAAGGTACGATGAGACGAAAGGGATCTGTTTGAAGATGATGGCTGAATTGGGATGATCAAGTTGCATTTGATTGGGGGTGTTGACGATAAGATGGGAGAAAGTTGAACAAACGTCGAAACACCATTTTACGAACAGGAAGGATAAAAATGAGAGAAAATTTAACTCAATTGAGAAGAGACTGACTACTCTACCTTGCTCAATCTAGCAATGACTACGATCTAGTAACGGCTACAAATCTAGCAACGACTATAGTCTAGCAACTAAACAGACACAAAACGCACTCTACGAAACCAACACATCCAACTCGTCTCTTCCTCACTCAAGGACGGCGACCCTCTTCCTCATCCTTCTGAAAGTCACGGTTATCCGCCATGATGGCCTCAACTCGGCGCTCCGCCTGCTTCCGGCTCTTATCCTCCCTGTGAACCTGTCTGTGTCCCATCCACTGGATGCAGATAAAGATGAAGAGGAAAACAATAAAGATGATGCATCCCACTGTGGCGTACAACCAGGGTGTGGTACCCTTGGAAGGAGTCTCCTCTGCCAGTGCAGTGGGTACTACCGATGGGACGACGGCAGTGGTAAGAGTGATGAAGCTCTTGGGCTCCATGGAGAGTTCAAACCACGAACCACCATCGTCGGGGCGGGTTTGAATAGGAACATCCCATGAATCGGCCATGATTTCTATGGTGTGAGAAGAAGTGGTGATGAAAGCTGGGAAGTGTTAGCAGGCAAGATCGAGAGTGGAACGTACCTGTGTTTGCTGTGTGATTGAGTGAGAGTGTCTGGCCAGAAGAGGATTAATTGCAGGGCGATGTGATCTTCTTATGCGTTTGCAGTGCCTTCATGTCTGAGCAGTAGTGGCGCTCAATGCGCAATGTTCAAAAGGTCGAGAACAATTGAACAAGGAGAGAAGACTCATTGTTCTGTTCATGCTGTACTGACCTTGGCTTAACTTGCATTCATCTTTGTTGTCTTTGTTTGATCAAGCCAATGGAACACTGGTCACTGGAATAAAGTGTCAAAGGACTATGGGTATCTTATTCTGTTTAGCTGTGTGTGACAGGACTGTGGCCGCGACTCATTGTCTGTGACCCCCAAAGGCTGTGGATGGGAATAACCGAGTAACTACTGTACAACTGTCGATCTTATCATGGCCATCGCAATACCCCCAAGTCATCAATTACCCAGTTCTTTGTCCGGTGAAACCATCCCTCGAAGGTACGCCTCGATGCACCTACCAACGCGCTCGTCGTCCAACTCGTAAGTGCCCTTTGGCGCAAATCCAAATCGGCTATACAGCTTCTAGCCAGTAAAAGCCAAAGGAAAGAATGGAAACGCCGCGGTTTCGAGCTCGAGATCTGTGACGTGATTGGTAACGTAGTTGACAATGACGCGGAGCTCACCACCCTTGGCGCCAATGTCCCAGCAGTTGAGGACATGACGGATTTTATCGAGGTGCGTGTCTGCGTCGTAAAAGGCTCCGTCGTTTGTAATTTCTTGAAAGATGACGACTACATCAACGTTTTTCGCGTGCTCTTCAAAGAGGCGCTTGTTGTTGTAGAGGCTGTGCACTAGCATGTCCTCATCGTCGTGAGAGCGCCATCCGCCGTTTTGGACGTTTTGATCGGTGTCGTACGTGGCTGTGATGGGGATCTCGACCTTGCTCACGCTGTAGATGTACTCGGTAAAGTCCTTGGAGGTGGCGACATTGGTGAAGAGGAGTCCAGTGTCGTGGTGAAGGAGAGTTAGGTCATGGTGAACATCAATGAAGGATCGAGGGTAGCGACGGTTGAGGTTGCGACGGACGCCCCATTGAGTCACGATGAAGTCTCCATCATCGGGGTCTTGACGGTCTTGAGACCAAACGAATGAGTAGATGCGATGACGGATTTGTTGAAGGGCGTCGCTTGTCTTGAGAGGGTTTTCTTGGTCAACATAGAACAGACGTCCCCAAGGGAAGCTGGTGCATTTAGGAGAGTCGGGTGAAGTAACGAGAGAAAGCAGCACGTCTCCTGCTCCGCCAAAGAAGGACGTGAAGGAAGCACCTAGCTTTTCCATGGCGATGGTGTTGATCCAGCGCATGTGCGGTGGTAAAGAAGATCAAGGTGAGGCGTGATGAATCGACGTGTCCAGCTTTATGTTGACAAGGCCTAGGCATTGTCGACATGACCACCGTGATTCACTGCTACGAGGCTCTCAGGAAGGAGCCGGTGACTTGCACTCGTTCAATTGGCTACAGAAAACATGCACTGAATCATGAGCGAAAGAATGTAGATCTCAAAATGAAACGACACCTAGACGGAGGAAGAGCTAGATGTCGAGATTAACGACGGACCAGTTTGTTTCTTCTCAGATCAGTCCAAGAGTCCAAAGACCCTGCCGGACAACCGCTGCCCACAATGGACAGCGTGCGGCGGACGTTCTTGGCTATCTGAAGAAGAAGGAAGAAAAAGAGAAAAAAGGACAAGATTGAGCGGAGTCTTTGAAAGGGTTGGTTTGATTTTCTGATGACTCAGCATGAGGCTCGGTCTATCACGTGATTGACACTCCGAGGCGGAGGGAATACCGGGTCACGTGTGTCCCGAGATGAGGAATTCGCACCCGCTGATTGGTCGGACTGGACCGAGAAGCCGAGGGAGCCCGTTCCGATACTTGCATGCGAAGCCATCCGTGCATCGGGAAATCCATCATCATCGATTCCCCAAACGACGACGATAGCCCTTCAGTGGTAAAACGACGCCGACGACGATCCCGTTGAACGAACAATTTTGGCCGCCCTCTCAATTCGATTCCCTCGATACTCTTCTGCCACGATGCTCGCTCAACGTGTTGGCGTCGCCGCCCTTCGCCGAGGTACGTCAATTGAAAGGAATCCCCCCGATGCCGGGTTCTGCGAAAAAACAGTGAATAGCCTCATGGAACGCGCAGACTGACCAATTGTCTAGGCGCGGCTAAGCCTAGCAGTGTCTTCTTCTCCCAGACACTGCCCAAGGTTGCCCTGACTGCCGGCATCTCGACCACTCCCTCCCGGTAAGCTCCTCAACAGCATCGCGAAATGCTTCCTCGACCTCTGACACGTGCTTCCAGTCCCGTCGCCAGCACCAAGCTCTCCCAGGAGGAAGGCCGCCAGCTCCTCGTCAACCAGCGCCTGAACCGCCCCGTGTCCCCCCACCTGGGCATCTACAAGATGGAGCAGACCTGGTTCGGCAGCTCTGCCTGGAACCGAATCACCGGATGCACCCTCTCGGCCACCATGTACGCCTTCATGGGCGCCTACCTCGTCGCCCCCGTCGTCGGCCTTCACCTCGAGACTGCCAGCGTCGCCGCTGCTTTCGGCGGTCTTCCTCTTGTCGTCAAGGGTGGTGTCAAGCTCGCTCTTGGCTTCCCCTTCGTGTACCACTTGATCAACGGTTTCAAGCACCTTCTATACGACATGGGCAAGGGGTTCGCCAAGCCCACGATCAAGAAGACTGACAACATTCTCTGGGCTGCGAGCATCCTCGGTGCCATTGGTCTGGTTGCTTTCGTGTAAGAGATGAAAAAGAAGGGAGGAATAGATTGGGCTAGCAACAGCAGTGGATGAAATACATCAAGCCGTGAGGGATTGAGAAGAGTACGGGAAATGGGAGACGAGGTACTCGTGTAGAAGTATGAATGAGCCTGGGAGGGCATTCCTGATTTTGAGCAAATCAATTTTTACTATATGTACACCAACCCTCTTACCCAAATGCCCTTTTGTGAGGTATCCCGAAGCCTAAAACGCCATTCGCCTTCGCATCCATTTGCTATAATTGTGTCAAAGCACGTTGGGATTTGCCTACTCCAAGAACCGAGCATCCAGAATCGCCCGGATCAGCTTCCTGTTGCCGGACGAGGCAATCTTTTCTCCTACGATTGTTCCAATAAACTCCTTCAGCTCCGAGACCTCCGACTCCAAGTTGGCTGTGCCGTTTACACCGTTGACGCTCGACTCGCCCCGCTCCGATAGGGATGCGACGGCTTGCACGATGCCTTGTACGAGCATCTCGTAGTCCATGGTGCCCTCGGCCTTTTCCTTGAGAGGTTGCAGAATTGCAGTGTCAAAGGTCTTGAGGTTTCGCAGCACCAGAACTCGGATGGCTTCAGGTCCGCCAGCTTCGAGTAGACCGTGGATAGCGCCGTAGAGGACGGCAGGTGGCTTGGTAGGATCGAGGAAGTACTTTAGACATGTTCGCGTGAGCTTTGTCCTGAGAAGAGTGTTTGAAGCCGAGTATTTGCGAGCGATTTGTCCAACTAGCGATGCAGCAAGTTGTCGCAAGTCGTACTGTTCCTTGATGGCATCAACTCCTTCATCGGCACCGAGTTTTCGGGCCATCAGACACGTCAGAGCAGGCGCGGAGAGAGGGCTGGCGTAGGGATCGAGGAAGAGGCTCTTGTTCTCGATAAGGGCGTTTGTCAACTCCATCATCTGTTTAAGAGTAAAGGTATCGTCCAGATGGTGCGTTACACGATCCATGATGAAGTTGATAAAGTATGGGATGAGCTGATGCAGACCGGGATCGTCCCTCACGGAACCCAGAGCAGCTTGTCGGAGTCGTACAACCTCCTCGTCCGGGTTATCGTCCAGAATCGCGGCTTGAATCTTGTCAAAGTAGAGGATAAGCTCCTTGCTGACGATGTGCTTGACGGATGGCTTCATTGCGACGTTGTCGTTTCCGGCGAGTGCAGAGAGGGCGGGATTAGCTCCAGGGCCCTTGGGGAGGAGTTCTTGCGATCGGGATTCGGACGTCGTTGGGTTTTGGGGAATAGAGGGCTGGACACCTTCGATGGCGAGCCAGTGTGCTAGGAAGGATTAGCATGAGCATTCACACAAGCCGAGAGGTATGCGCACCGGTGAAACCCATGTCGCGAGGGACCTTGGGTAGAGGCGCATTGATGAGCTTCTCAAAATCAACCTCCTCATCCTCAATGTAGAAGAGCGGCTGGCCTGGACCGAGGCTGGCCTCGCCATAGCGCAGAGGACGCGTCGAGTCGTAGCCGTAGAGGGGTTCCACGTCGAGAGCCCTCAGTGCGAGCGAGATGTCGTTAACAGTGAGAGTAGTTCGGCGGGCGGCGCGCATGAAGCGCAGAGACTCGACAATGACCTGGCCGATACGATACTCGACGTCCTGAGTCAGGCATTTGAGTGCTTCATCGTTAAGGGAGCTGATGCCGACCGACTCGGCTACGTCCTTGACGTTTTCCGGGTTCCACAGGAGCTTGGGGGTTTCGGCCATGGCGTCAGCTGGGGATGAGCGCACTGTGACGCTCACGATTATAAAGGCGTATTCGAAAAGGTTGTTGTTAGAAGCCTGCGATCGGTGTGGCGATGTGGATGTTGGGAGGTTTCTAAGTGTGATGCTTTCTTGAAGCTGCACGAGGCTGAGAGAGCAGTGGATTGAAGTGTGGCTGAATCTGGGGTGCGCCACATCTTAAATTTCCCAAACAGGTGTGGGGCATGTGTTTGAAGTGAGGTTTGTGGCTAGTGAATGCTGCTCAATAATGGCTTTCCTATTCTAGAAGTTTGATAAATAACGGCTAAATAAACAATCGAGGATTCAGTTAGAGGCCGTGAGTCCCAAATAGGATGTTTCACATTACACCACCAACATGCTGAGACCGCCTGTCGACCTCGCAAGCGCCGCATCTCAGCTAAACGCTCTTACAGCAGACGCCAAAAGTGGGTCTCTAAATACGGCGACCATCAATACGTTATACGCGTATAGTGTGAGCCGCCATGACAACGAAACCAAAGGGCTGAAGCCGTATTTCATGCGATAGGATGAGGCACAGGAGATGGACGCGTAATATAGGGTCTCGGATGGCTGAGGATTCGCGGCTGCTCTCCACATTCATACGTGGGCGGCTGATTTGCGCTTGTGTACTTGTTGAGCATCGTGGGGTTTATATACGACTGCGATGCCTTTTCAACACCAGAGATCAAGAGACAGTTTCCTTGCAAGAACAGGCTAGATTTACTAGCTGCTCCTTTATTTTACTCCCAAGGCCGACGTCAACACAACCTGCGAGGCTCCAAACTTGACGCCCCGAGTAGCGACAACCTAGCGCCCAAGCAAACGACAACAAACACTCCAAGATGATGTCCAGAGTCAAAGACTTCTTCGGAAGCCATTTTTTTGACCCGCATTGGAAGACGAGGGTTCACATCGGCATGATGGTCCTCATCGTCGCCGTCATTGCCCTCACCGGTGCCCGTGTCGCCACGAAACCCAAGGGCACGCCGACTACCCGCTCCGATACGCTGGGTATCACGATGGTATGAAGCCCGCTATATACGAGTTGAAATATATCGAGACTAACCATTTGCAAACAACAGGCCGTCAAGAGCATCGTCTTCCTCATCTACCAGTTGCTCACCGACAAGGTCGACCGGTTCAGAAAGTGGAGGAGCCTTAAGGCGTATGCAATCCTCAACACCCTCGAGATCGTATTTTGGTTCGTCGTGATAATCATCACGTTTATGGGGATATCGAGGTTCTGCCAAGGTGCAAGCTGCGCCTGTGCGTGGTTTGTCGCCCTCAACGCCTTCATGCTCATGTACGTCTACACTGCCCCGCTACAAACAAGAGACTGTATGCTGACATTTATCCCTTGCAGGGCAACATCTTTCTGGGCAGCTGTCATTTGCTGGAAGGATCACAAGTACTTTAAGAGTACTGGTGTTGTTCGTGGGACGGCGCTCCCAACACACGCCATGAACAGCTCGGCGTACTCGTCGCAGTCGGCCATGAAATAGACGAAATCAACGAAAAGCTCACGCACACGGAGAAGGGGTTGTTTTCGATCCTGATTTCTGGATGAAGTCCGAAGCAATAAGACATACTGGAGTACGGCGTTCTTTGGTCGACATGAATAAGGAATTCAACGAATAGAGGACAAGCGCTTACCCTTCTCGATACTTTATCGAGACGTGGCTTATATTAGGGGAATAAAGGAGGAAAGGTCTTCATATTTGATGGATTTTGGAAGTATTCGGGGGCTCATGAGGGAACTGCAGCGTAATTACCTAGATCTTCTGTAGACTCGACATTAAATAGAGGCTGGCCCTACCTAACCAATGTCTCCGTTTCCGTCCTTTTACCTAGAGGGAAATGTTGAAGTACCACAATCAACAATAGTGAGACCCAAATTAACTGATATATAACCGCCTGGTTTCGAGTGAATTCCTTATTCGGGCCTGTAGGGTATCTTGAGGCTGTCACAACTGTCAACCAGACCATGCTGTGCGACTACGTAAACGAGGTTACATTAGCTGATAAGAAAGGGAGACAATGGAGCTTAAGGGTCCTTGCCGGAGTAATAGAAGACTTGAAGGCTGTCTTGTTGTCTGAGGTTCGGCTTTGATGCTGAAGTGGCTAGATTGCTCAAGGTGTCACAAGGCCACCCATGAGAAGAAAATGGAAATGAATGTGTTGTTAGGGTAGTCTAAACTGCAAGCCATTCTTTCAAAGACATGTTTAAAGCTGGTTTATCCCTCATGAAAGCTAATCCTGCTATCTATGCTCTCAAGACTCCGGCATGACTGACTTGCCATGTATGCAGCTGTGCAAAGTGCTTATGATAACAGTCCAATCGTGAACTTTCTATCATCCTTTTCCAACTCGTCCTTGAGCCCCTTGAGTTCATCAATGTCCCATCCAGCCCAAACAAAGCGACCGCTCAGAAACTTGGCCTCCTCGCTAGCAGCCCAGACGGAAAAGTCTCCAGCAAGGGCCACATCATCAGGGACAAGCCCAAACGCATCGATCAAGCCTGCGATAGGCCTGGTAATGGCAGTATCGGCGATGAGACCTGGGTGGAACTGAATGACCGTCTTGTCAGGGTTCTCTTTGGCGTAGTACTCAAAGACCTTGTAGGCGGCGAGCTTGGATGCGCGGTAGCCTGAGAAACCTTCCATGTACTGCATGTGCATGGCCTCGGTTGAGACGTGGATCACGGAGGCGTTGGGGGCCGCGAGAGGGGTGAAGGCTTGGAGGAGGTTGAAGTTTCCACGGACTGAAATGTCAAAGCCGAGCCACCAGTCGTCGGGATCCGAATCAGCAATGCTGTTTAACTTGGGCATGTAGCCAGCGTTGGCCACTACGATGTCGATGCTCCCCTTTGTTGACTTTGTAAATGACTGGACAGCAGAGAAGGTGGACTCGCGGTCTACAATGTCGACGCGGTACGTCCAGACGGTGGTGTCGGGGTAGAGACTCTCGATTTCGGTCTTGTTCTCGAGAAGAGTCTTTTCTGTGCGGCCGAGAAGAGCCAAGTCACTAATACCGGACTTTGCAAAAGACTTTGCAATGGTAGCACCGATGCCAGAGCCGCCTCCGGTGATTAAAGCATTCTTGCCTTTGGTGGATAGCTCAGGGCGAGTTGGAGAGATGGCTGGGTAGGTGGTGTTGTGGACGGTCTTGATGGGAATGGGGGCCATATTTGCGGTGGTGAGTTGGATCTTGAGAAGATATTGAAATGTTGATGGTTTTCTCTCAACATTTTATTCTGTTCTTTGTTTATTCCCGCCTGGACCTATTTGTATCGTGGTGATGAGGCCATCAAGACCCGTAGTTAGGAACATGTTGTTGATGCCATCCGAATCCTTCTGTTCGAATAACGTTGATATCTCCATTTCAACGTTATCGCAGGATCATGTTCCCTACGATCAACGTTACTGAGGCTTAAAGTCCTGATAATTCCACCTTATCTCCGTGGTTCACGGCCTGGCGCTTGGTGTTGTTAGTGCTACCCCAGATTATTAATGCGCATAACGTTATCCCACCACCGACAATAACGTTACTCCTCGACAATAACGTTATTCCTCAACCACGACACTCCAACCTCTCCTCATCTTTTGAATCAACAAGTCAATTGCCCTGGAAATAACAACCTGGTATCTTTTTCCGATTTTGCCTACAGCCGCAAATGTCCCCGTCAAACAGCAGCAGAGACACCCCAGACGTGAGTGGGCCTTTACCTGCGATTACCAATCCCGCTGCTGGACAACGTTGGAGCCGTCTTTGATTCTTGGCCTTTTAACTGACTTAAATACTCCATGATAGCCCAAGCGAGAGAGGAGTAGGATCGCTCAACGCGAATATCGCAAACGGCATGCGTCCAAGTTTTCTACTCTCAAGGATGAGAATCGGAAACTTCGGAATGCCATCAAGAAGATTGATCAGGTAGCTTCGCGGCGTGCACGCCATGATAAAGACCTTCAGGCTGCGTTGGCAGAGGCAAGAGAGGTCGCGGGCATTGAGGAGGATGATAGCAGCGCTCTGACACGAGTGCTCTCTCCATCACAAAGAACCATCTCCCCTGCAAGACAGGCATCGACGGGGGTCATGTTTACTGCTCAGCCGGCCTTCTTCAGCGTCGCAAATGGTAGAAACCACCTAAACGTGCAATCTCTTGGGCTGCCGCAGCAAGTATGGCTCGACACGGACCGTTTGGTGCGCATCTACGAGGCTCCTATGGATGCGGCGCAGTATCTCGGGGATAACCTCTTGACCTTTGCAGGGGCGTTGTACTGGGCCTGCACGAAGAATACGGTTTCTCTTTGGCAGGCGAAACAGCTGGCCTTGATGGGAAAGGCGGCACGCCCTGAGTCAAACCTTGACCGGTTATTCAACCACTCCAAGCATCTCCGCGATCATGACTTTTTGGTGTCTCTGGCGCTTGCAAGGTTAGAGTACCACCAAAAGGGTTATACTCACCTTCCGCCTACAGCGACTCAGGCGCAATGGGACCAAGTCGTCCCAGATCTATCCAAGAAGATTGAACGGGACTATGCCGAAAGGGGAGAGACTCTGGAGTGGTGGAAGACACCCCGTGAAGTCGAGCAATTCGTGAAGCGCCACCTAGAACCCGAAGAAGTCGTCGAGCTGCAAGCATTGATTGAAGGTCGGGGAACAGGGGCTTCGCTTGCCAAGTATACACCCTTGGTTGAAGCGCTGGTGCAGAGTTTTGTGTGTTTTGGAGATGGACCGCGGTGGAATATTCTCTGGGTGTCGATGATGGTGGGAGGCTGGCGGACACATCAAGAGGATGAGGCTCGGGCTCGAGCTCAGCAGTCTCAGGCGCAGACTGCGGATTAGTTATTGGTTACAAGAAAAATTATATATAGCGTGCGTGATTATGGGGACTAAGTCATTTACTGGGCGTTCTATTGTATTTCTGGATTGGATGGCAAGGCCACCAACAGACCAAGGTATTAAGACCTACTGGCAAGCTCAAGTAGCTCCTAATCCAACTTTGGGGAACCAACCAAGGACTTTGTGTGTCGAAACTCGGCGTTGAGAGAGACCAGGAACTTCTAAAGCCCATGCCTAAGTAATCTGCAACAAGAAGTAGAGACGGGCTAGAGGCGAAGAAACATGACTTGGGTCAAGGAGGAAGCATGTATCCGTCTGTAGCACAACTCGAACATTTCGCCCAATAGTATTGTATACAACAACAGACTGATTGGAGCGCTAGACAGCGTCAGCCCTACATACCCCAGACTCTGGGAATAACGCTCCGCGGAGGAGCTGGGTATCCGGCTCGGTACTTAACACCCCGACCCATACACCGAGACCAGATGAAAACTCCGACATGGGGCATCTTTATCGGGGAACCGCCGATAAAGGACTCTTGAGTGACACTTTACCGTGGTATGCATTTCAGATACTGCAGTCTTGATTCGAAGGCGATGACGCCACTGCATCCTTTGATGGTGCTACCACGGGTATAACGTCTATGGCAGAATGAGAATTGCAGATGACGACATTTAATATGCGTGTTAACCTGTGGGATAGCTTCTAGGAAGCAATACGACGCGGGGTTGTATGTAGCCAAGATGACACATCAGAGGATCTGCCCGAAATAGGAGGATATGGCTGACTTCAAATAGAGGCCATCCCTTGCGATGCGTTGGTCGATCCGTAACGATTCAAGGAAAACCACGCGAATCAATCACTCTTCTACAGCATGGCAGCAGCAGTTCAACCTCCTCTTACTACCGGCCCCCCAGGCCAGCCGGATATTGGATACACCCCCAACCTTGACAAGTATCTCGCTCGAGTCAAGAGACGTCAAGAGACTGAAAAGTTTGAGACGACTTTGCCTGAGGGGTTCCCCAAGGAGCTCGTCTCGGACCTCGTGTGGGATGGCAAGGACTTGGCGGCCAAGTATGACTGGAACTACCACTTGACGGAGGCTGATATCGAGGAGATTGATGAGGCTCTCAAGAACTTTAAGTGTAAGTTGACTTGAGATCTTTGAGAGTGTCAGTGCTGAGTTGAATGTCTAGCTCTCAACCTTCCACTTGGATATATCAGCCAACAGACATTTGTCCTGCCAAAGCTCCACGACAAGCTCCGTGCCATCTCTAAGGAGATCCACCAGGGCCACGGCTTCAAGGTAGTCCGGGGTGTGCCCGTGGACAAATACACCCGAGAAGAAAACATCATCGTCTACGCCGGCATCTCATCCCACATTGCCCCCATCCGCGGTCGTCAGGACCACCAGTATGAAGGAAAGCGAGCGGACGTGGCTGTCGCTCACATCAAGGACATTACCCGAGAGGTTGATGCTCACAGAATTGGTGCTCCTGCGTACACGACTGAGAAGCAGGTGTTTCACACTGACTCGGGTGATGTGATTGCTCTGTTTGCTCTTGGTGAGGCTGAAGAGGGGGGTCAGAGTTACCTGTCGAGTAGCTGGAATGTTTATAACCAGCTTGCCAAGACGAGACCAGATCTCATCCACACGTTGACGGAGCAGTGGGTATCTGAGGAGTAAGCTCTCTGCTGATGACTACTCAAAAGAGCAGAGAATGACCGTGAGTTTAGGTTCGGCAAGGTTGGAAAGCGGTTTGAGCTGCGTCCGCTTCTGTACCATCAACCTGCGACAGAGCAAGACCCGGAGCGTCTGATCATCCAGTATGCTCGTCGACGCTACACGGGTTACTGGAGTCTCCCTCGATCTTCTGATATCCCACCTATTACTGAAGCTCAGGCCGAGGCTCTGGATACTCTTCATTTCCTGGCCGAGAAGCACGCGGTCTCACTGGACTTTCACAAGTGAGAAGAAACCGTTTCTCTATATGTTGGCAGAAGCTTACATGATATAGGGGTGATATCCAATACGTCAACAATTTGAGCATTTTCCACGCCCGCGGAGGATTCAAGGATTCTCCCGAGAAGCAGTAAGTGAACTTTGATCCTAAATGTGAACCACAGACTCACCAGATCCAGGCGACATCTCGTCCGTCTATGGCTCCGAGACCCCGAGTTTGCGTGGAAGACCCCAGAAGCCCTCCGTCGCAGATGGGATAACGTCTATGAAGGAATCGAGGAGGAAAAGACGGTGTTCCCGCTGGAGCCTTTTGTGAGGAGTGCTAGTGACGCCAACAAGTTCAAGGCGGAGAAGAGGGTGGACGGCTAGGTAATTCATCCACCAGTCATACAAAACTGTACGGTCGTGATGAATCCTTTTATTCAAAAAGAGTGACAAATATCTTGGCTGTTAATGGTGAACTTGTTCTTTTGGTGACGATGTTCGGGGTCGGCTCGCCCCCGACTATTTCCGGGTGGGATGCCGGTGTAGATCTTCATGGCATCAACCTGAGGATTATGGCGACATGCAATTAGTGACTTGTCTATTGGAGAATTAGGAAATCAGGAATGTTGTTGGTGATCAGTCGACAAGAGTTCAAAAGCTTGCAGAGAGTTGCAGGATAAAGATAATCCATCTTCTCATTCAGCCATGTTAAAGAAGCGCAAGTACGTACTCGTCAAGAGTGCTATCTAATAACTTTTGCATAAGCTGGAAGAGCAAACTCAAGTTCAATGGACAACTGAAAGGCGTGCCAAGTGAACGCCCAAGTCCACTTGCCTCACGAAATGACTACGAACCAGGCAGCTTTCGGGACCATATGACCCAGAGTCAACTGTGCTTCTCAAATTCTTCATTGCAATTTCAGCAGCATCTTATACTAGGTAGAGTGGAATTGACTTGTTTGAACCTGGCGTTAAGAACTCGGGGTGCATGCGGGTTAGATAGAGCACTAAGCCATGAAGGAGACCTGCCAGCGCCCGCCCTCATGACTGGCATATAGTCGGCGTACAAGTTTCTCTGTATGATAGACGAGGACAATACCTTGATATCGTTATTATCCTAACTATGGGGTGCGCGTTATCACAAAGTCACCAGTACATGTTCCATGAGTGCTCTCGATGCTTGGCACTGGTTTCTACTTCTATCACCCTAGACCTATAGTCATCGTTGAACACAAGGATATAAAACGCCGATTGAGTTAGCAAGGGTCGTGAAGCGCCCAGCCTCCTTGATACAGGTCTTCGACATAGATGGAACATGGTATCCAACGTCAATCGTACCACTGATTCTGCAATCCGTTCCTGTCAAGTCATGTTTCATGTCATGTTGGTGACAGGGCCATAACCTAGCCGATATAGAATGATGATATGCCAAGCTATCGCGCACGAGCGGAGTTTCACGTCAAAGCGGGAGGTTGAGATCAGACCAGCCCCCGACGTGCATCTCTCTTGCTTCCCCGCCGCCAACAAGGCCACAGGGTTGCAGCTGTTGCAGGAGCTATCTTCCTTGGCTTGTTGGGCTACAAGAATCTGATCGTGAGCTCCTGACTACCTAGTCGATGACAAGCACCAGTTGCGGTGACAGTGGTCTGTCTGTTTCGAATGAGTCGTAGTATTTTATTGCCTGCTAGGCATTAGAACTTGGGTCTTGAAACTGGTGATGTGACGTTGCGTCTTTGACAAAACTGTTAGATGATACCAAAGATTCACTTGGAAACAGCTACGAGTGTGTTTGGTGAGACGGATTGTAATCTCTGAAAGAAAAGACATAGTTTAACAACTGGACACGGCTAAATATTGCAAAAAAATCATAAATCATAACAAGCGAACCCAATCTTGGACAACAATGCTTTACACTTTGCCATTGGTTTCAATGCGGATGGTATTGAATGCCTGGCCTTGGGACACCCAGTTACAGGCACTCTTAACCATGACAATTACCAACTAGCACAGGTAGCCTCTCACGTGCTACATCCTTGACTGCTTAAGCCTGGGTAATCAGATAGCGAGTGGGAGGAGGAGCAAGGGACTTGGGAGCCCTTCCAGAGCCAGAAGCGAGGATGGACTTGGGGGCGCTGCGGGTCGAGGGCAAGCGACCAGCTGAAGGGACAGGGGCAGACTTGGGAGCCTCTGCAACAGTCGGGGCGAGAGCAGCGACTAGAGCCTTGACCACGATGGGGGCCAATGTGATGATAGGAAGAGCAGCGGCTTCAGGGCGGGAAGCCGGGAGCGGGATAGGACCCGCGGACGGAGCTGCGGCGACTTCGGGGCTTCGGGCCACGGTCGGGGCCGAGTTCACGGCCGGCTGAGGAGCAATCTCGGGCTGGGCAGCGACTTCGGGGGCTGGGAGGACAGCAGGTTGAGGTCGCACCGCAGGGGTTGGCTGGATGGCAGGCAGAGGAGCGGCCTTGGGCTGGGAACGAACGGTAGGTACAGCGGCGATGGCCGGAACATGAGCAGCCTTCGGGGTCTTGGCGAGCGAGGGAACAAGAGCAAGGCTCGGAGAGGAGCGAACTCGAGGGACCTTGGCAACAGCGGGAGTTGATCGGACCTTGGGAGCGTTGACAACAGCTGGTGTCGCTCGGACAAGAGGAGCGTTGACAACCTCTGGAGTAGCCTCAACTTCAGGAGTAGCCTCAACTTTGGGAGTGGCCTCGACGGCTGGCGCCTTTGCGACCTCGGGGATGGCTTCAACAGCAGGAGCCTCGAGTGTCTGAGAGACTTGTCGAGAGCGAGGAGCCGGGATGTCGGTCCTCGACACTTGACGGGATCGGGGAGCTGGACCGCCAACTCGGGAGACTTGTCGGGATCGAGGCGAGGGCATCACCAACGGGCTCTCGGGGATGGCCGGGAGGATACGGGCCGGAGTCTCGGGACTACCAGGCGCCGGCGTAACAGGAACATCCTTAACAACAGCAGCCTTGACGGGGTCTCCGGCAGGTGCCTCTGGACTCTCGGGGGCAGTAGGCGTCACAGGCCGATTGAGCGTTGCATTAGAACCCTGCCTGCGAAGCGAAGCGTTGGAGCCCCGGCGTCCGAGAGTCGGGGTCGTGGGACGGCGGCCAAGGGTGGGTGTCGTGGGACGACGGGTCGGGGTCCCGGGCCGGTCGGGTTGAGGCTTGCGGATGGGACTCGTACGGCGGTTCGAGGCCATTGTGCCCATGGCGTAGCGAGGGGAATCAGGAGCGTCCTCCATTGTTGCTAGTTAAATAAAAAAGCAGTAAAAAATCACAAGAGGCAAGGAAAAAAATCCAGTTGATACAGACAGGTTAGGAGAAGATAACTCCCAGCTACCGAAAGAACAAGAGAAAGAAAGAAGAGGCAAGCTTCAGACACGACATGCTGCGGCATATATACCTCTCTTTTTTCTTTTCTTTCACAGCTCATGGTCTCTTTGCTGCAAGTTGCCGCCCTGAGCTTCAAGGTGATGCATGTCTCTGCTTGCACAACAGCCTAGATCCCTGTGTTCAGGGGCAAAGCAAGCGGAGGCTGCCGCTCAGAGACATGAAGCAAGTATACATACGAAGAGCGGGAATGCCCGGGCATGCAAGGCATTGCCTTGTTTCCCCACAGAGTGTCTCTGCCTCGTCTCATTATTCGTCAGAGCTGAAGCGCGCAGATTCAAAACTTCCTAGCTCCCGAACAACGATGACGTGCATTTTTAGTGTTGAAGACGGGGAGATCCTTGTAGACAGCGGGGGAGAGCTTCGATGAGGTGGCATTGTCGACCGAGGAAGAAGACAGTAGATCTACATGGATGTTGAATAGGTCAATTGACCAGCCACGCAACAAACATACATGACAAGGCACCTCGTACTTTTGTCACACCAAGTCCCGCAAGGTCATACCCAGGAGGATACATCTCAGGCTTCAGCTCGGACGCCACGAGGCTCACGGACCCGAGGAATGCCGATTGACTCGGCATTTATCCAAGTGATCAAGAAGTGTGCGTAAAAAGCAAAATAGCTGCTGTATCCGACGAGCAAGACATTTCGCCCCTCTAGAAAAAAACACGCCATCCTTTGATGAGCCATTGCCCTCTTGATGGATATCTTAGATTATGGTATCTTACTTTAATATCAGATGTAGCGTGATTTTTGAATAGATTTGCTTTGTTTTGTATTCACCTGTTCTAGAGGCTTGCTTTTTGGGTATGCAGGACTCGATCCAAGTTCCAGAAGCTTACGATGATTCATACGAGATTAGGAGTTTCGATAAGTCATGTCAATATTGACATTTGGGTAAGAAACCAATCAGAACATCTCAATGCCAGTCGTGTATTCTCACTCTATCGTCTATGTCAACACCATGACCCTACTTCGTCTTGCCCTCCTTACCCACCCTCCTATTCTTATCCGGCACTGTATATCCCCTCTCCCTCTCTAATCTATGTCTCTCCCAAAAGTCACTCATTTCCTCTCCCAACCCCGTCTTCCTCCCCCGAGACTCTTTATCCTGACTCTGCCCCTGTGTTCCCCTTCCCTTCTGTGGGATGAGTCTCACCGCTGCCCTTACCGCTGGATCTCCAAACTTTGTCCATAGTCTCAAGGTAGCGCGGATCATCCACTTGATAAAGCGTCGGGCATGGGTGCTCCAGGCTGCGATGAGCGAGAGTGTGATGAGGACCAAGCTTGACGGAAGTGATATGGCTCCAATGGTCTTGAGCGGGAGATTATTCTCTCCACCCCATTCCCGCGTATTCATACCAAACAAACCAGTAAAGAAAGTCAACGGTAAGAAAATGACGGTAAAAGTCGTGAAAATCATGACACTCCGACTCTGCGCACTCGCAAGATCAGCATGCAACCTGCTAAGTCGCACCTCATCGACTTGCGCCTGACGCTGCACCATCTGAAGTAGCTTATCATAGTCGTTCCTCGTGTTTCGCACCCGTTGTATCATCTCTTGAGCTTGATGCGCATACTCGGATAACCTCTTGAGCGCTTCACTAAGAAACACCCTCCCGTTCGTAGTTCTTTCGCGTATCTCGGGACGAGCAAATGTTGAGAGCATGGAGCTTACGACCTTGGATTGTCGCTCAAAGAGATGGAGGAGAATGAGGAGTTCATCTTCAATGTCTCGGAGTTCTAGAAGGGCAGATGTGTTGTCGCGGTTCTCTTCTTCTGCTCGTCGACCTTCGGCTTTGTGACGTGCTCTGATTGAACGGGATTTTCTCTCCACAGGCTCATATGCAACGGCTTTGTCTCTGAAGCCTTCAGCTCGAAAGGTTTTGAGCGATGATGTGAGTTTCTCGGTCTAGCTGTTTGTCAGCATAGTTCAAAGAATTTGCTGTGCATGTGCTTACCAAAACGCTGATTGCCTCTTCAAAGATGCGGAATACTTCTAGGTCAGGATGCGATGACCTATCGAGAAGTACAGTGACTGCGTGCAGGACAGCCAACGCAGCAAGATCCAGGGCATTCTCGCATTGCCTGGTAAGATCAACATTGACCTCGTTAAAGATACTATCCCTGAGATCAGCCTGCTGATACAAGGGCCCCTCAATAGCATCTCCTTCTCTCTTGGGGAAGAATGAGAGCAGTGTATCTAACTCCGTCAGTCTCTGTTTCGCAAGTCAACAAGTCAATACTTACGAGAATCAATCGCCCACAGCCAAAGCTGATCCACCATGAGCACATTCCCATTGAGCATCACATCCTCTGGGTCCTCCTCATTATCTCCATCTTGACTACTCGCCTTGGACTTTCGACTACCGCTGCCAGCACTACTATCCGACATTTGCCCCTGAAGCCCAGGTCCCAGACCAGAAAGACAAGTCCGCTCCTTTGTCAGCTTGTACAGCATCTGATCGTCGTCCCTTGACCGTGTATCTCGAAGTGAAGGGTATCCATACTGATCCAGCGTTCGTCGTGTGTTGAGCGGCGGATCGTGGCCTAGGAATTCCCAAATCACCTGTGCCTCGAGTGAGTCTGACTTGGCGACAGACTCGGGGACTGGACGAGCTCTTCCATGGTTGAGACGTTCGAGGATGAGTTCACGTCGACGAATGAGTCTCTTGTAGCTGTCAAAGTGCAAATATGGTATGAAGAGACAGGTATAGATGCCCCCATCAGGCCTTGGCGACAATGATGTTGATCCCTTGGAGGAACGACCTCGAGGAGACACTGATCTTGTTAGGTAACTGAGGAGCATATAGCTCGGGGAACTTACTGTGACGCGGAGCCGAGAAATAGCATCCAGGCTTTGCAAAATAAGCATAATGCTGCGAATGTCGTCCACGCGTATGCCTCGTCGCCCAAAAGTCGGAGCTGAAAAGGGGCGTGTAGCTGCGATTGTACGCTACCTGTAGCGTCTCAAACACTTTCTATCCAAGAATCAGCAACCGGCTAACAAACAAAGCTCGTATGTCTTACCGTAACCCAGCTAGGATTATTATACGCCAGATGAATCCACACAAACTTTCTCGCATGAACCTCTGGCTTTGTAAATGCAACCGGCACTTCATCAACGACTACTGTCTCGCTTGCTCTTCGCTCTCCATTCTTTGCAGCCTGCCGAATAGCAATAACAGCTTCTGGTAATCGTGGCGATCCTTCAAGTCCTCCATCGTCATCTTCGCTAAAGTTGGGTTCAATTGTGCTTCGACTGCGTTGTGAAAAGGGTGGAAAGTCGCGATACTCGTATTGAGAGACTTGACTTCCCATGCTTAGCGACCGACTTAGAGAGCGACCCATTCTTCCACGTGGAGGAGGCGAGAGACGATCCACGGCGAGGTCCTGATCGAAATTTGCACGGATTAGGGGTGATGGACGACGCATTGGAGTTGAATAATGCGTCGGTGGTGATGTTGCTCGTGATGGAGGCGTTAACGGACCCCCTGGCAGCCGTTGAGGAGCTGACTCTGTTCGAGGCCTCGGCTCGGCGTCGACTGGTCGTATAATGGGGGAAGCTGGGGGAGACATTTGATATGCTCCCTCTTGGTTGTTAATTCCCAAGGGATTCCTGGATGCTTCCCCAGAAAGAACATTGTTGCTCTCCTTTCTCTCCGTGTCTGGTATCAGAGAAGTCCTCCCTCTCGCTCTGAGGAACCTCCCCTCCTCAACACTCTCAACTTCATTCAACCGATCAGCCAGACACTCTTCAGGTCCCTTTTTGAGAAACTCCCTCAGGGGTAATCTCGTCGACCAAGCTCTGATGGTTGCCACCTCCAAAGGCCCGACGGGGTCTTCAAAGAAGCCATGTACTTCAATATTGACCTTTTGTTCCAAGTCCAGTGTCCAGTGGCCGTCCTCGCTCGAGTACTCGTCAGCACGATCAATCAGGGCCGACAGTTGCTTCAAGAACAAACGCAGCGTGTGAACATTGTGTCTACCAAAGGATGCAATGTTGGCATGGTCGCTCTGCAGAGGAAGAATCGTCTCCTGACGCATACCGAGAATGGCCGATTTGATGGACGTCAGGGGCGCCATGAAGTAAACATCTCCCGATCCACTGCCCGAGAGCCGCGAGTCGATGGTTTCGTAGAGCGTCCAGATGCGAAAGTCGTGAGAAATGCACTTAAAGTCATCATCAAGACGCAGAAGCAAGCTGTTTCCAACCCTGAGCTCGTCGGTGACTGAAGTCGGTAGGGGAGATGAAAGTTGAAGAAGGGTCTGGATGCTGGACGATAGACTGGGCATGGCAAAGTAGCTTGATCCTTGATGAGGAGTTCCTGTACACTGTTAGAGAATGTTTATATCTTGCCAAATGACTTGGTCGACGTTTGTAACTCTTCGTCGTACTGAACGACTTACCAAAGAATGCAACGCCATAGCATTGCCGAAAGATACTCTCATACTTGGTATCCTTACTCGCCTTCACCAACACCATCTTGACAATAACCCCTCCAACACTATGTCCGACAAAAACAACCGGTCTATTCTGATCCTCCCTCGTCCTCAACCTCTCCAACTCCTCCAGCAACGCATCAGCTAGCGAACTCAATGTAGCACCCTCCGCAGGCGGATGTTCGTACAAGAGTATCCTCGCACGGTCAGCTTCTCTCCTAATCCCCTGTCGAACCCATGATGGAGCTGGTCGGTCTTGCTCGGCTGTTGCAGAACCTTCGGCGTCGCGCATGGAGAGGGCGCCAAAGTAACGACCCATTAGACCGTCGCGGTTCCACGTCCGGAGGGGATCACCGCCAGGACAAGGGACAGTGACGATGTCGACGGTGGTTTGGTCATGGGTGAGTTCGCCTTCAGGATCTAATGTGAACTTTCCCCTCTCAGGTTTCGGAAGCAAAGGAAGTTTTCCCTCCTTCTTCTCCGCTGGCTTCTCCTCTTGCTTCTCTTCCTGCTTCTGCTCTTGTTCCTCCCCCGTCACCTCCACCTCTGCATCCGCCTCAACAGCCGTCTCATCACTACTCTCCTTCTGTTTCCCAAGAGTATACTCATCCAGCGGCGGTAACGGACTCGGCGGACTCCCTGGGTTGACGTTGATAGAGTCCCTGTCGTTGCTCAGCTCAGGTGACGCCTGTAAACCGCCTGGAGCCATGGCGGTAGAGGCCCTGTAATTCTCCTGCCGCTGCTCTCTGGGGATTGTTGTTCGCGGGTTGACTTGAGACATGGGAAAACGCCGCTCAGTCTTTGTTTGAGAAAAGATGAAATCTCAAACGTTTGTTCCATCCTCATGGAAAAAGTAATAAAAAGAATTCGTATCCTTCATGGGTCGTCAGCTAAAAGCATCATCATGTGCAAGTCACATTCTCACCAAGGCACATCAGCTAACCCACCACAATCGCCCTCACGAGCTTCACCTTCTGCCTGCACCTTGCGACTCCGCCTCTCCCCCGTGACAAGAGCCCCATCTTTGAAAATAGAAAATGCGCGATGTGTCCTTGAAATGCTGATGGGTTCAAGTTATCGACCGTGGCTGACTTGCTGCCCTGTTAGTGCGTGAGCTAATATCTGAGACAGAACCTCATCGTGACTGTGGCACATGAACATCACCCACCACCACCATCTCCACGTCTGCCTAATATCGTCAACTCTGCTCGCGATCCGCGGCAAGGCAGGCTAATACCGCCAAATTTCTCCCTATTCTACACTGCTATTATTGCCCATGCTGTTTACCAAAGAAACCATATGCTGCTTAATGTCCCGACTCCCGTGCTCTTAGCAAGTCTTGAAAATGCCCGAAACGTAAATGCTGATGGTCCCTATTATTGCCCAAACTCCCAGGCAATGCCTAGCCTGTATCCCATTCCGAAAACCAAGCCTCTCGTACACCGTCGCCTCTAATCCCATATCCCAGTTCTCTCTCTACTGAAGCGAGAAGTTGTCGATGGTGGTGCAATGAATAACTGAATCCACGTAAAGTCGGTTCTCGACCTTGCACGCCTGCCCAGGACGAACAACAAACATGCCGTTTGGTCCCAGCTGGAATGTCTTCTCGCCCATCGTCACCCGGACCTTGCCCGCCGCCACTGAGCAGGTTCGCAGCTTATCGTCTTCCACGCTCCAGTGGCTGGCGCTGCCGGGCTTGATGACAAGCACGTTGAAACTGACGTCCTCGGAAACGGTGATGGGTTGTCCGCTAGTCAGGTACGAGTTGGAGAACGCAACGTCTGCACATCATGTTAGCGCTTCGAGTAGATGGAGCAAAATTCGACTTACTCTCGGATGATTCGTCCCTCACTCTTCCCGGCGCAACCTCCCAGTCCTCCATCTCCAGCTCAACGCCCCCCATCTGTCCTGGACCGCCAACGACACCGGCCATAGGCTGCTCTCTCATCGTGAATCCGGCTGAGGCAGCCTGAGACTGAACCCTCTTGGTTTGTCTCGGCTCCGGAGCCGTCTCGGTCACCGTCCTAGATAGGCTGACTTTCTCAGGTTGATAGTCCTGGTCAACCTCCATGGCATCAGGTCTGGGGGTGGCCTCCTCAGATCCTGACGACGACCTCACCGACCCACTCGAACCCCGTCCAGACCTAGACTCAGGTCCCCAGTCACAACAGTTCCGCTGGCGCTGAAGATGACACCAGTACCTGCATCCTACACAAGTCTCTGCACCAAAGAAGGCTTGTTTGGCTGACGCTGGCATGCCAGGCCACAGAGCGATGCAAGGGTGAGAGAGTCGTGCCGACGGTCGTGAACTAGATCGAGTATTGGCCACGCATTCTTCTGGTCCCGTTACTTCTTTTCCTGTGAGGTAGGCCAAAGCACATGCGTAGTGGTTGATGTCGATATCGCCCCCACGGTGATTTTGGATCCAGGTGTCAGGGAGGAGTCGTCTTCGTGGAAGGCTCAACATTGCAGTGACATCCTCTCGTTGATGATGCTTCTGGGCTGGACTCAGAAACTGGTGCAGATAGTCTTTAACGTCCCATGTGAGCGCGGGCAGCACTGCTTTCTGCTGTGTAGCATCATTCAGTCTGGTAGAAGGCTTCCTCTCTGGCGCTTCCGGGAGTCCAACACCCGAGGCTCGTTTCTGAGCCGCAGAGACATACGGCAGACCTGCATCCGACGGTGGAGGAGCATTCGATGGGAGTGGGTGCTTCGAGATGACGATACCAGGAGAGCCACCGCCTCCGTGCTTGACATAGTTACTAACCTTGGTGAGCGTTCCATCACCATTGTCGTTGAAGGTAGTTGAGCAGTGGCTAGCTCCAAAGTGTCCACCAAGGCCTTTAAGCCCAGCAAAGAGGCGACGGCAGTCCCGCACAGGACAGACAAAAGGATACTCGTTGTTGTCGTACAACTTGTAGTTGGAAGGAATCAGGGCACCGCGCCCAGAGACCATGGTACCATCAGGGCCTACACGTGTCAGTTCATGCCTAGTGAGGTTTCTAGGGAATCATACAGAGATAATTGACGTAGGCCCGGTTTGGCTCAGCCATGGTAATCGCAACGATCCTATCTCCGGGAGCTGGTGTGGATACCTGAGGGGGCTGCGTCAAAGCCTCTGCCCGGGGAACTGGAGAAGGACTGGAAGCCGCCTGAGCATCCATGATCTTCTTGAGTAGTTCTCCTCCGGTGGGAAAGTGTCTGGCCGGCGCTCTCGGCGGCCCAGCTGTCGCCGTCAAGGCCGGGACGGGTTGCATGGCGCTCTTCTTGACGGACGCGCCCGTGAGCTCTGACATTTGCCTTGCCACCTCTGCTTCCGTAAAACGACGGGCGTTGGCACGAGTCTGGCTGTCAACCATTTGAGCTCCTCCATCCGACGTGCTGCTAGGAGAAGGACGCCTGTCGCCTATGGCCTGTTTCTTGACAGCAGGAGTGTCAGAGGCTGGTGAGTCCCTTTTACGCGGGGGAGGCCTGAGTGAGGGCACTGCAGGTGGCCCTGTAGAAGAAGGCCGAGAAGGCCCTGTAGATTGCATGGACTGTTCTATTGGTTCGCGTCAGCAAACATCCGATGGATGTTTCATCCAGTCTCTGTAACTGTGATCAGTCGTCGAGATAAAGTCTAACCTTGAGCCTGATTATTCTGTTCCCATTGTCTCTGCAAAGCTTGAATCTTGGCATTGTTGGCCAATCCCCCAACGGCAGACGTCTTTACCGCGGCGCTTTCCAGGATGTTGCTCACAATTCGCGGTGGTTCTGGGCCCTGGGCGTGGCTTTTCGGTACCGTGCCAGGCCGGCTGCCCATGACACCAGAGCTCCAAGGTGAGAAGCTGGTGCGCTTCATCTTGTTGGCTGCAAGATCCTCTTGCGAAGCCATGTTGGGCTGGCTAGAGCTGTCTTCCAGCATCGGCCCGGAGAGCCAAGTAGTTGAAGGGTTCAGATGTGAAGGGTGTTAAGTGAGTGTTGAAGGTGAAAGTAGAAGTGAGATGGGGGCAAGGTGAGCTGCATGAAGACTCGACGCCAAGCGCCTCAGAGGCTGTTGGTGCGTGCAAACGAATCAGTGTTTGCAATAGAGAAGTAGTAAGTCTCTTCGACTAGCCTTTTGCATGAGATTTCCCTAAGGAAGCTCTTGGCAGAGGCACAAGTTGTCGTTGAAGTCAAGTGAAAGTAATTGGAAGGGACGCGCCGACGTGATCGAGGTGTAGAAGGTTAGCGCGGTGGCCAGTGAGAGCTGGAGGGTGGAAGGTAGGTAGCGTGCTGCTGGAATTAGGTGGGGGGGTACTTGAACCCACGAGCCCGAACCCCTAAATTCTTGGGGGGACAATTGCATTGATTCATGGATGCCATCGAGTAGATCCATTGGATAGAAGTCATAACTTACCTACCCAGATAATAAAGACATTGGGCCATTCGACCTAACTACGCACTCAACATGGCTATTCTAAGAAAATCCCCATTATTCCCTCTTCGTACTCCAACTAGGTATACCTTGTGAATCTGTGCCAGACCAGCTCCATGTCAGAGTTCTTTGGTTCTTCATTACCATTGATATGCATAGTAACATGAACTGCATACAAATCCATCATGATTGGATAGACACCTCTAGTGTCTTGTCGTATTGTACAGTAACTACACAAATCCTACATGCCCAGATAACTCTTTCATCCATATGGCACGCTTACTTCTTCTTCGAAGCCTTCTTGGCCTTCTTAGCCGCCTTCTTGCTAATAGGCTTAGCCATCTTGATATCCCCGCCGCTCTCAACCCTCTTCGCAGCCGCCTTCCTCTGTCCCTCGAGCTCCCTCTCACGCCTCCACCGCCTGTGTCGGAACCACTGCTTGCGCGTCCTGAACCTCTTCGTCTTGAGACCCGTTGTCTTGGCCAGCTGGCCGATCGCCCAGTTGTCCTCCCGGTAGCTGTAGTCCTTGCGCAGCTTGAGCAGACGGTCCGGCTCGCCCGCCTCGATTCGCGTCACCTGGAAGGGAATGCCTGAGGGTGAGAGCTCCGGCTTGGCTTCCGCCTCCTTGATCGGGAACATGGTCATGTTGAGGCGTCTCTTGCGCTCGGCGTGCTGGGGGTACGGGAGGGTGTCGGATTTGTTGAACACAACGCCGATGTACTTGCGGTCCGGGTGTCGTGCGGGATCGCGGTAGTACTTGACGTAGCCGGTCGCCATGGCGTGAATGGTGTGATCTCGGCCCATGATGCAGTTCTCACCGGGCCACCAATGCGTACCGCGCTGCTTGTAGAGGATATTGCCGGGGATCACGAACTGATCTGCCAAACCGTCAGAACCTCAATTGACCCAGCACAACCTCCAAAATCCCCAACCAAACATACCTCCTGTCCTTTTGGCACCTAGCTTCTTAGGAATCCCCCTCTTGCTCTTCTTCCTATACGCTCCCTGCGTCTTGACCGAGGCATTCCTTCGACCCTCGACGAGGGCATTCGCCAATTGGGCGCCCAACGGCGTAATGGGCCTAAACGCGGGCCGGGCAAGGCCTGCCACAGCAGCCAAAAACGGCCGCTGTATCGTGAGGAACCGCATGGCCGTTCGTCGGAGGTGGGCTGAGGTGGGTTGAGCTTGCGGTGATGGTTCCCGCAAGAGTGCAATTCTGGATGGATGGAGTTTTCGCGATTAGTCATCCGCGGGACGTTCAAACTGGGCTTATCGATAAGAGGTTCCATGGGGAGCAATGTGGACAGCATCACACTCAACACGACGCTCTTTATCTGCTTTTGTAGCCATTTTCACGGCTTCTTTCTATCTTTTTTCAGAATTGAGGGTGAAACTCTATACACGCGCCAGTTGCGCACTCTGCCACCAAAATGCGCTACCTCATCGCCATCCTCTCACTCCTGAGCCTTGCCAACGCCCAGTTTGGCGGCTTCTTTGACCAAATGTTTGGTCAACAGGGCGGCCACGAGCAACACCACGGCCAACCTCAGAACAACCCCAGCGACGCTTCTCACTACCGTCATCAGTACGATAACTGTGCGTACCCCGTCTTCAGTCCCATTCTCTACCAGATATTCAACTTCATGCGCCGCTCCATGTCTATCATGGCATCTCTGTCTATTACAGTGCTAACAGTTCAACAGCCGTCTGCGACAAGTACCTCTGCCCCGATACCCTCGCCTGCGTCCACTTCCCCCACCACTGCCCCTGCGCCTGGGATGCGCAACAGGAAAAGTTCGAGTTGGCTGAGGGTCAGCGCATGTGCGTCTCTCGTGGCGGGTTCCGCGAGGGCGAGACGGCGCGCAAGCTTGAGCTGGCCCGAAAGGGGCTGCTGTGATGTGCGTCATGTCTAGGTTCATATGATGTCGACAGCATAGCATGGATTACTTCGAAAACGTGAACCCATCGAGATGGTACAAGAGCGGACATGAATAATGATCGAGTTCTGGCGCATATGACTGGGAATGCGACAACTATTCGTCATTTAGACTGAAAGGTATAAATCAATTCTAATGGAAATGCTAGATATCCCTCATTTGCTGTGCAAGCGAAACCGGGTCCATGATATGCCCTTGTTCTTCCTCCTTCTCCGTCTCTGGTGACGATACTCCTCCACCAAAATCCTCAAAGCGAGTGAGTAATCTGATAAACCCACTGTCCCCCCACGTTGCCCCCTCTTGTGCCAACGCCCTGTGATGATTTCCGCAAAACTCCGGTTCAAAGACAAGCCTCCAGCCAAATCACATCCCTTGTCGTGTCCTCTCCTCCTAGCGAGCAGCCGTCTACGCAGAGCCATTGGGCATGCGCGGTAGCGGTGGCATAGGCGGCACGGCACCGCCGTTGCCTTGTTCATCTTCCTCGTCCTCGTCGTCGGGGATCGTCTCGGGGTGGCCCAGAAGCTGGGCCACATTCTTCATTTCGTAGTGTCTCTTGCGGAGCTGCTCAAACTTTCGGTGCTTTTCACGCTCCTCGGGAGACATACCCGCAAGTTCCTCTTCGGCGTTGTGGCCGACGCTGCTCTCGTCGTCGACGTGGACGCTCTTTTCGCTGCGGGGCGACGGCGCGCCCGCTTCCGAGATCGCCTCTTCCGGTTCGCCCAGAGAAAGGCCCGGAATGTCATCTTCACGGCCTGGACGTGAATTCTGAAGACGAGCACCAGCGTTCGCCAGAGGATCCTCGTCGTCGTCAGACGGGTCTTCGGACGGGTCGTAGTGTTTGGCATAGGGAGTCTTGGGCTCGGTGATCTTCATGGTAGAGGAGCGCTCTTGCTCGGTGAGGTAGAGGTTGGCCTCGTCCCACTTGAGGCGTTGAGAAGACTCGAGCGGGTCGTCGATGGAGCTGAAGCCGGACTGACGGCGAGACCCGGGGGGGCGAGCGCCCGAAGACGAACGACGGTGGCCGGCGTTGATCTGGGTGTTTGCGATGGTGAGCTCCTTGTCGGTCAAAGAGCGCTCCTGGTTTGGCGAGGTGGGGGGAGACTTTTGGTACGAGTTCTTGAGGATCCCTACGAGAGGTTGTTAGTACATGGCGCCATGGTGTCGACGGGAATAATCACCTCGAGGCCTCTGTGCGGGGTGATCGGGAGGCGAGTGCACCGGCGGAGATTCCACGACTGAAGCCATTTTGGTATTTGGTCGAGCGGACGAGGCTAGGTCGTGGAGGGTTTATCGGTGAGCTCGGGCTTCAAGAGGCGGCGGTCGTGTGTGCAGATGGTGAAAGCAAAGGATGGCAGCAGGTCGGTTCAAGAGTCAATAGGGGAGCAGCAGGGAGACCCTGTGGGTGTATCCTGTGTGCCTTGTTGCGCTTGTGATGTAGTCCTGAGGTCAAATGTCAAATGCGAGATGCAGAAAAAAGGCAGCGTGTTCAGGTTGAATCCTCGTGAGCAGGCCACGGAGGGAGGCGGGCAGCGGGCAGTGGGGAGGATAGCACTGGCCTCAGCTTGGAGGGGTTCCAGTTTCCGGTAAAAGGTACGTACCCGCCTTCAACATTTGCTGCAGTCGGTTGGGTCGGCCCGCCAGAGTGGAAGCTCAGAGAGACTTGGACAAGAGGTAGACAGTATCACAGGGGACTCATGGGCGTAGAATATTGCACTGGAATTCAGGCGGCTGATACTACGGCAAAAGTACCTCGCGTCTTGTCAAACCCACTGTCTGCAGGTAGGTACCTCTCAGCGAGCAATAAGCAGGCCGTTGCGGCGTCCTCCGCTCCAGCCACTCCATCATCGCACTCTGTGGCTTGACCGTCGCCCTCAGTGACATGTGTTCTCGGAGGTCATCGTGAGCCTGGAAGGATCTAAACCCAAACCGTCACACCACCTACACCCTCTCGTCCAGCCTGGCCTTGGATCGCGGGCCTCGAAAGACGTCATCTGTTGGAAGCGACTTCCCCAGAGCGGAAAGCGCATTTGAGGTCGTCACACGGCAGATGGCTTGTGTAAGGCGTTTGGCCAGATGCAGTGTAACGTTGAGCAAACAAGTCGTCATTGATGAGAGTATGGATCGAGGCTTCTCCAACACTCCAACACTAGGAGAATGTATTGTTAATTGACAAAGGGGCAATATCGTCTGGGTAATCTCACCACGAACGAAAATCGCTCACGCACACCAAATTCTTCATCATCAGCCGACATATGCATCTTGGCAGCCACTTCAGAGATTATCGGGACAAGGGCCGATAAATCTGCAGAATGCACTCCATATGCACGAACTCGTCTGTGCCCATGCCAGCACATCGATGAGGCCCTTTATTCTATACGTTTGTATGTCTAACAGCGTGGCCGAGGCAATCGAACATCAAATCATAGCCGCTCCGCGCTTCAATACCCAACTTGTACAGTTTCCACAGTAAACGCCTTAATTTGTTTCAGACGTCTCTGGTAGCACCTCCAACACTGCCATTAAAATCGCATATCCCGTTCGGTAGCAGACACTCGATTCCTTCTCAACACTCCAGATCTCGAAGCAACTCCTCAGCGTGTCGAGGATGATCTGCCGAGGTGGGATCTGCGAGTCCATGACGGGCGCCGCAGCCAAGGGCGCATCTTTCCTCAGCACGTGGAGGCATGCTGTAAGTGAGGCGGAGAAGAAGTCGAGCACAAAGGCTCGCCCTACCAGATCAAGGCGCAGACTCTTATCGCTGCACCACATCTCCCGATAATGGACCAGCAGGGCCAGAGAGCACTCGAGGGATCCCCAGTATGACTCTGGAAACATGCTAGGACCTTCTGGGTGCATGGCAAACGGTCGATGCAAAACCATGATGCATCGTCGTAGAAAGATGTCCACTGTGATGCGTTGGAGTTGACTATTGCAGACTCGCTCAGCATATGCCATGAGTTCCCTAATCTGCACCTTGTACCGCAGCACCTCTGGGTAAGTGACCTGGCTGTCTTTGGAGTTGACGTGCGCCAGAATTTCGAGTACAAGGGGAAGAGCTCGATAGAGAACCATGTGGAGGTTATCCGGTTGGTCCCAATTGGGCGTATTCCTGATACTGCACAGATCCTCTGGCCTTGTTACAGGCGGCATGCCGTTGCACATGGACACCTTGATGTCGAGGTAGAGGATAGTGAGCCATAGTTTCCGCCTCGCGTCTCGTTCGCTGACATCGAGCGCCTCGCCGTCTTCGGCGCCTGTTTCCTGCGGTAGTCCGTATATGAAGGCTGTTCTCACCACCATGCCAAGTAGAGTCCAACAGGAGTCGATAGCCCAACACGTGGGGTTGCATATGTGTTTTGCAACCACCATCAGAGTCAGGGTTTGCAGCGATAAGAACGTTGGTCGGAACATGACGGGAGTTTGTACCAGACAGGCTTCGGCAGCCATCATAAGCTCCGTCGCTTGATGAGGCTCTTCGACGGATGAGAAACATCCCAAGCCGAGCACCATAAGGAACAGCGACATCCAGTCGAGACTTGCAGAATAAGGATCTTGCCAGTACTGCTCCACTTCTCGACTGAACAACTCGACATCGAGTACTGGATTTACTGTTTCCAGTAGGTTGAGATATTTGTCGATATAAGACTGGCATTTGGATTTCTCTCCCTCAACAAGCTTTACAACAGCTTCTCGAGTAAAATACTTGGCTGCGCCAGGTGTACCAAAGGGAAAGTTGCCTGGTAATGAAAAATTGGCCAGGCACGCGTTGGTAGCAACATCCTCGAGAGCCAATGCGAGTGGTGTTGAGTCCATACTCGTCAATTTACCGATCTATACCATCCATGTAAGCGCATGTCATATCATAAGTCCAGCAAGCATACCTTGGTCATTAGATCCCTCCAGTGGCTAGATCCCCTGACCTTGTGCTGGATCTGCCACGCCGCCTGCTGTCCCTTACTCTCATCGCCCTTTACAGGGGCTGTTGGACAGGGAAACTTGCCCCCATTTGGCCCCTTGTTGAAGCTGTAGTAACAGTCACGGCCATTACCGCTCGACTTGCACCGTCCACATGGAAGTTCCTTGTCACACTTTACTTTAAGACGGTGACATCTTAAGCAACTGAGACAGTTGCGCTTGCGTTTTCGTACAACGCGCTGGGCAGAGGGCATGCTTGATTCGCTAGGCTCCGGGCCATCGGGTTCCAGGACCGGGTCCGCCCCGGCCTCACCGGACCCGAAAGCCTGGGTGGAAGACGCCGGGCTGTCGGTCGATGTGGTTGGGGGGGTAGGATTTCCAGCAGAAAGACTCTGTTGCGAGTCCTGGGCAGGAGATCTTGATGAAATAGCTGGGCCCGAGGTAGGCGTTGTGGTAGACATGAAGACTGGAGTAGGAGACGCCGAGTACGGTATATCGATTATGGGGACGGTGATGGTGGAGACACCAGGAGAAGCAGAAGCCACAGAAACAGCAGCAGTATCAAAGCTGCATCGTACACCGGCCTGTAGACACCGAGAGCACGAGGGCTTGACGAGATCGCAGCGGCGCTTAAAGTGCCGGCAGCGATCGCACGTCTTGACCTCGCGCTGCTGCGGCATGTCTGCTTTGAGTAAAGGCGGCCCGCTGCGGGAAGCGAGCCAGCCAGGGGGGTGTCGGGGCTCGGTTTTCCGGAAGAGGCGTAAGGCTGAGCCTGACAAGCGAAGGAAGGGATAAGCAGGATTGTGTTTTTTTTGTCTGACAAATAGAGATCTGGGTTGGGTCAGAGTGAGAAACAGACACAGGGGTCGAGATTTGTTCGGATCCTTTTGCTCGGGTCTTGCTGATGAGAGTTTGGATAATAAAGGAAACAAGACTGCCAACAAGGAGACGAGGGCAAGGGGGGTGATCCAGGGGTTGAGATCCTCCAGGAGACTCGGGGCGGTTTAACCGGAGGAAGCTGGCAGAGAGCAGACGAGCTGAGCAGCTAGTTCCATGAGCATCCGAGATCAAGGACGAACAAGTTTCGAATGAGGGTTAGAGAAGGGAGATATCCGTTGTTTCGAGATGTTGGCTGACAAAAAAACACTCGGGCCCTTGTGGTTCGTTGCAATTTGAGAACAGGGATCTGTGTGTTTTGGGAGACCACACCCTGTTTGTAAGAGATGAAGCCTTGGCCTCTGACAGCCGTTTAAGCCGAGGCACGAGGGATGTTTCTTTTTTGTTGTTGGGGGAGAAAAGGCCAGGGTTCGCCAAGACCCAGTGGCGACAGGTGATGGACGAAATAGACTGATTTTGACCTTGTAGAGTTTCCCTGACGTGAGGGCGGAATTCAACGTTGAAATGGATCGACGTGGATGAGATCTGCACAAAGTGGAGGAGGGAGGGGGAGGGGGAGGGGAACGATATACGAGATGGATATCTTGAAAGAAAGAGATGAAACTATCGAGATTCAAAGATGGGAAATATGGTAGAGTTTAAAAAAGTCTCCGGCTGCTACGTTCCATAAATATTAACTAGGTATGTGTACCCAAGAGCTAAAGCCATCTTTGTCGTTGTTCCCCACTGGTTTGCAGCAAAAGGCGATGCAACAATAACTCGTCAAAGAAAAGTCAGGTCACAGATCGCCAATCTGCAGAACTCACGGCACGCTCGGGGAAGAAGGACCACGAGCTTCTCCGCTTAGTGTTTAATTCAGACCACTCTAGCGCCTTTGGTTCTATTTTAGTGGCGGTTGAGTTGGGGATTTCTACCCGGCCAAGCCTGGGCCCTTTTGGACGCAGCGAGGCTTGGGAGTTTTGATGGATTAATGGTACACTAGGTTGGTTCTCTGAATAGGTGTAGCCTGGTATAAAGTGGCCCTTGTATGCACTGATGATATGATGTTGGCAGAAACTAGCCAGCATTGTGTGAAAAGAGCCGAAACCTTAAGCCTCAAGGGGGTCACATCCGCGCGGGTAAAACATGGCAGTGTTGTTTTCCGCCCTAGGATTGCTAAGCGTTTGAGCGTATTTCTCGCATTCTGAGCAGGGATGGATTACCCACAGCCCAACTGCATGTACAACAACAGCTCGTGATGGTGAGGACAGCAAACAAACAGCAAGGCTGAGTTCTACGGTAAATGCCGTCGGAATGTCAAACCCTGGATTCCGGTGCCTGGGCAAATCCTCTCAAGGACAGGGGGTTCGGTGTGTGGTACTAGACCGCAACAGGTTTACACTTGACAATCATTTACTCACGCTAGAGGGTTCCAGCCAGAAGAAGCTTTTTTT